CTGTGCCAAAGAACTTGTTGACATCACAAGCAGTTTATGTGCTTGATTTACACAAACATGCTTGCTGGAATTGAAGCATGTCAGTGGAACTCCATACTGGAAATCCATTTGTAACTCTTTCCTAGTGTGGGATGTGGGAGACGAATGTCAAACATTTCAGAGACCTTGATTTCATGCTGTGTGGAGCATTTCAAAAAAACAAAAGCAGTGGGGAACAGAGAGATGATGGCAATCCATTGTCTTCCAACTCAATGAGAAAATTTGGTCTGCTTTTTCATGGTAACCGAGTTTGTGCACTTTGTAATATGTATTTCATGGAGATGTTTGAACACCCAAACTTTGTATAAAACACATTGTTTTTTTTCAGAAGATCCAAGTCCTAAAATTCTGCAGACAGCTTTGTATAATCTGTAAATGATATTTTCTTAGGGTATTAGCTTCGTGCAAGGTTAAAAGGGGAAAATCTAGCTTCCGTTTTTCAGAGTTAATTTTTGTGTTAATGATCCATATTTTTTCCTGCATCTCAATTTGCAGCTTTTATGGTCTTATTAGTTTTTGTTCTAGAGTTATAGTATAGCAGGTAGTTAAAGCTGAAATATTGGACTACCTTTTATGTGAAGCCATCATTAAGCTTGCTTATACACAAAGGAAAAAAGATTCTGGTTGACGTTATTATGGCTGTATAAGAAAATGCCTGATCAAAGGCAGTTTGATGAGAAATTTAGGAAAATTCTCCTGACATTACAGAGTAAAAACCTCTTTACTAAAGAATTAAGCATTATATCTAAGTAAAAAAATGACTGACAGATGAACTTATATTAAATCTGGTCCTATTTTCAATGCAGACTATAGAGAATCGTCTGTCAAATCTTGTTTACTGGTGTTCAGTGCTGAAGCTTAACGGAGTCCAAGGCTCAAGTGAGCTTTGTCCATTGTCTGTCATCATTGTTGGCACTAGCAATGTATTGTTGTGATATGTTGTTGTAAACTTTTCTTCTTTTTTTTCATATTTTTCTCAAGAACCACTAGGTCCATTTTAACCAAAACCAGAGAGTATTCTTATATGAAAGGGATTGAAATATTTTCAAACCAAAGCCACACCCTCTTCAAACTTGAGCTTAATGCAACTTTGTAAAAACTGGATGGGGTTAAAAAAAATTTCAAGGAAAAGTTGAGTTGGAAAAGATGAAACTTTTTTGTGGAAGTTTCCTGACAAAGTGTAGATTTGAGTTTGCTTAAATCATGACCTCTGGGATAAGATGGGACCAATTTGGGCAATCAAAGTTTATGACCAGAAATTCAAAAAAAAATCTTCTTTTCAAGTGAAAAACAGGAAGTTCAAGTTAGTTAAAAGCATGATTCTTAGTGATAGGATCAACCAGGTCACAATGGGCAATCAAAGTTTTTAGATATTCTTTAAAAATCTCCTTCACAAGAACAGAAAAGCCATGATGAATCATATTTAAATGGAAGAATTCTTAAGTAGTGTAGAGTGAAGTTTGTTCTTCATGACCCCTAGGAATAATTTTTGGTTTACAAAGAAATATTAATTAATAATATAAAAAAAATATATATATTGATGAAAAACAAGAATCATGGGAATCGTAACTCGGATGAGTATTTTGGTCTTTAAACTTCGTGTTAAAGTTTTCCTCTCCTAAATGTCACATACTCTGCAATTCTGGATATTTTGCAACTTGTTAAGACATGGTTTATATACAGAACTAAACAAATATGCAGTGGTAGAATTTCTCAATTTTAATTCCAAGGGAGACCTCATTTTTAATATCCAGAAAAACATTTAGACTCTAAAAGTGAAGTATAACTTAGAGTGCCATATCTTGTTATATACTTATTGTGAGATGAAGTGTAATTTTAAATTGCATTCAAAATGTAAAAGTCAGGAAGCTGATTTAAGTGTGTTCTTCCAATTAGTACAGGATGTTGTCTCTAGTCGCTTAATGATCAGTGAGTTTATTTCTTTGATGTTGCGTAAGTTCATAATATTGCTGATTTGTGTTCAGTTTAAAAGTCAACATTCACATCAAACAAGTCTCCTATCTTATGCTTTTAATTTCAGATTTTAAATCATTCAAGATTCACTTTTATCGATAATTCTTCTAATGAAGAGCATGAATATCTGTTAATGGATTGAAATGAAACTTAAGAATGAGTACCTGTATGCCTTGATGGGAATGAGACTTTTTGTGTACTGGGTAATTGATTCCCATGGTTTCTGTACTGTAGAAAGAATTGGGGTAATGATGACTGATGTTTGATACAGATTTGGGAAGCAATGGTTTTTGACAACTGTGACACAAGATGCTGGACCTGAGGCATGATATTTGACAGGGGGACTTCAGCTGATAAAATTTCCTCATCTCCAAAAAATTAGCTGTTTGAAGTTGTAGATGTGCTATGAATTATGTTAAGAAATCCTCATGGTTTTCTCTAGCTGCAGATCTGTAACTTTGTAAAAACTGCGTTATGGTTTTTAATATAATTTCAAGGAAAAGTACTATTAATGCAAGATATATTTGTTTTCAGCGGCAGCTCACACAAATTGAGTTTGCTTAAATCATTCCATCATGATTAAGTAGATACAACATTATTGTTCATGATAAAAAAAAAGTTGTGTATTTCATACGTTAAAGAAATCAAAAATAACGTCAAAATATTATTAGAAAATCACTTTCCCCCCAAATGCAAATAAAAAATATCAATATTCCTTAAAAATCTCCCTCCTCAGCCTTTTTTTTTTTTACATGTTTGATAATAGAGAATATTTAGGTATTGTTCGATTGATATTTTTTCACCATGAATTGATAATTTTATATACAACAATTGTATTAAGTACATGTTTATAAAAAATATATATATATCCTTTTAAGAAAAAATTAATCATTCTGTGTGTGTATATTATTAAATGACGTTAATTTTCAATAAATGTCCATGGCTGGAATTCTGCTCACATGTGTACACTTTGTAAACAATGTGTATATACAAAAAACAAATATGCTGTGGTAGACATTTCTTCGTGTTGAAGTTCAGCATAGGCCTACCATTTTATATAGAACTTGAATAATGTAAGTAATTTCTGCGACAATATACATTAATTAGTATATTTTAGTAATTTTCAAAACAAAAACGGTTTTCAGTGTGTTTTCCAATTAGTCAGGATTTTCCTAACACGGCCATTTTAAACACAAGTTGTTGCTTGCAAATGTTAGAACAAATATATATAGTGTGTTCAGGGATTTATAATTTTTATTAATCAGAATTCATATTCATATGATCTTAATTTCAGATTTTAAATCAAAGTTTTGTCTTTTATCGTAACTTCTAATGAAAAAAAATATCTGTTTGGATTGAAATGAGAATCGTACCTGATGCGTTTAACAGCTCCATCGCACGTGTTTAGTGTCGAGCTAATGTTGGTCTTGCGGACACAGGTTCATGTAGGCCTATGTGTACACATACAGTTTGTTAGGAGACTGGGTGACCTCACAAAATTTACACCAGTTCCGTAACTATTTGACATGACAGTTTTTTTTATTAAATTTCGTCATTATAAACACTGATAAGCATATTAAATGTGCTAAAAGTATGTTAAGAAATCTTTGGATATGGGGTAACCCATATCTATTCTTGTATATATTTGTCTTTGACCATAACGCTACAGATCCCGTAGTGCAAAAAAGATGCAATTTACGGAGCAATATTTTTTGCACACTTTTTGGGGAGAATTTCTCAACTTTCCAGCATCAGTCAATAAACTACCTTTCACTCCCTAATTCTAGGCACATTATTTAGCTAATCTGTATATTTTACCCATCTCTCAACCCTTTATAGTCGTCTCTACAAGTGATAAACTCGCTTGATTAAAATTATTTTTTAAATTGCTAAAAATTCACTTAAGCAAGTTTATTGCCTGTAGAGACAGCTTTAAATGGTTGGGAGGAGGATAAAATATACATATTGGCTACAGAATGTGTCTAGAATTAGGGAATGAAAGGTAGTTGATTGATCAATGCTCGAAAGTGGAGAAATTCTCCCCGAAAATGCGTAAAAAATATTGCGCTGTAAATTGCACCTTTTTTGCATTACGGGATCTGTAGCATTATGGTCAAAGACAAATATATAAAACCATAACGCTACAGATCTGCAGCTAGGTTTTCTCTAGAGAGAGGTCACTGTATGGAACCAAATTTGATAAAAGCTCTTTTTGTAAAAAAGTTCAAGAGTAGATAAAAACAAAACAAATGCTTATACATGTATATGTATAGGGTTAAATGCTTAAATAGAAGTGGTTGCTTCAAAGATGCAAGGGTCATTATAAAAGTATAAAGCTGTAATTCTCATGATATGACAATCCATGACACTTACACTAACCTACCTAATGTAGCAAAGAGTTTGTCAACCATTACTTTTACTCTGTTTTATGAGCAAATATGAACTTAGATTTATAGGGTTAAGCTTGATACCCAAATGAACTGAAGGATTTCTTCAGTTTCCTGTCACTGTTACCGCATTTAAAAAATCTTCAAACTAAGAAAGGCAAGTAGATACATATAAGAAATGTTCAGAGGGAGGTTTTAATGGTATTCTGGGACTAAGACCAATGGCTGATACTTAACACTGACCAACATCACATAACATTCATTAAGTAGGCTAAGAAATGTGTGAACATGAATTACCAAGGCTTAAAATATTGATTGGCTTAAAAAAACATAACCTTGGTTTCACTTAGGCAAAGTTCATCTCAAACTTTTATGGACATGTTCATTATAGATAGGTTTTAACTGGAGGAGAGGAAGTACTGTGCTTGTTTAGAGAGGTCTGCATCCCTTAGCTAATTAGTCCCCATATAACATAGAGCCAATAGCCACACTTCTACACAACTCCCTAATTGGCAATTCCCTCTTGTCAACAGAAGAGTCTAGCTACATTGAGAGCAGAGGTATCAAATTTACTGTATTGGGTGTTCAGATTATTTTTTTATATCTGGAGCCTACAGCATCTTGAGTGATTAGTAAAAGTGTGTTTTATTTGCAAGGACAAGGGGACTGGTGAAAATAGTCAAGTTAGAGAGACACATCTGTGAGTGATATCTTAGTATAATCTCGAGATACCTGTATATTACATTTGTAACTCACTGTCAGTCGAGATACATTGGTGGAAAGAAACATCAATACATTATTGCTATCCAACCTTTTGAGAGTCTCTTATTGTATATAGGTATATGAAAGCCTGGTCCTGGAATTAATAGGCAAATGGATCATCTCCTCTTGTCAGGTAAGTCTAAAGGAGCACTGCTTTAATGAATCTGCAGTCAATATTGATTTTAAATGTCATCTGTCATACATATCCAACAGATAAATTAGGATTTATTAGATGTTGAAAAGCAGTAGTTTTAATACATTTATTATTAACAAAATATTAATTTTCCGTTGAATGCGGATTATGGTCAAGTCTGCAGTAACTGTTGAATTTGTCAGCACTGACTGTGCTGTATCGTGTAAATCAAGTCGCAAAATTTGAGTTTGCTAGATTGTTATATATTGTAGGTACATGCATTTGATAACAGAATATTCCATATAATATCTATATAGATGTATAAAAAATTTCTCTTGCATTTTGTTTTTTTTTTTTCTCTCTTCTTTCTAAATTTCTGGTTTCCATGTATAAAATCAATTTCCAGTATACATCTACATATTTTTGATATACAGTTGAACTCCAGTATTTTGAACACTGATATCTCCAAGACCATGATGGATATCTTGCAAAGATTTAGAAGTCCCAAACCACTAACTCCTTATGTATTTTAGCCCCAATATCTTGAATCCACGGATATCTCAGGAATTTTTTTTGGACTCATTGAGTTCGAGATAATGAGGTTTGACTGTAGTTTGCGAAAACTACAAATAAGAAATATTAAATTGCTTAGATTGACATTTTTCAAACGTATAATTTTGTGAAAATTTTAAAGTATTTTGATAGTCATGTTCTTTTAGAGAATGTCACATTTTACGATATGTATAAAGTAACAGAATCAAAGTATTCCTCAATGCTTTATCTTGAGTCCATCACCTGATTTTACAGTGAGTCGGACTTCATTTTTTCACCTCAACGAAGTCTTTATGGAATTAGAGCGTCCCGTATATAGCAGTTTTCTTTTTAAGTACTTCTATGTCCTATATTGATTAGACATGCATGGAAGATGTTTCTAATGTGTTTCATTGTACCAGTCAAAGTTTCAGATGCAGCAATTTCAGCAAAGGAATGACCAGGTTAATGTTTTTGGAGCAGGTTAACATTTTTGGTGCAGTTTTGGGTGTAGGTCTCATTTTCGAGATAAGCCCTATGTTGACCAAACTTGGTATAATTGTGTACACCACCATGTCAGAAGACTGTTTCCAGTTGAGTGAACAGGTTAATGTTTTTGGTGTAGGTTTCATCTCCATATAAGCCCTATGTTGACCAAACTTGCATGGAGGATACATCTAAAGATGTACACTACCAGACTTGCTTCAGATGCTGAATCTGACCTACATTTTCCGGTTGAGTGAACAAGTGAATGTTTTTGGTGCAGGTTTCATCTCCAAGTAACTATAAGCCCTATGTTGACCAAACTTGCATGGATGATACAGCTAAGGATGCATATTACCAGGCCTGCTTTGGGTGCTGAATGTGACCTACATTTTCCAGTTGAGTGATTAGGTTAAAGTTTTTGGTGCAGGTTTCATTTCCAAGATACTATGAGCCCTTAATGTCATGGACGATACATAAGGTTGCATTGTTTTAATCTGACTTACATTTTTTTTGATGTAAGAGGTTAAATTTTCATGCAAGTTTCATTTCTTAGATATTAGCTATGTTGTTCAAACTTGCATTATATAGGTAGAACACTAATGGATTTGCTCTAGATGCTGAATTCAACATTTCTGTTGAAAAGTTATGGGGTTCTATTACCAAGAAACTATAAGGCTTATATAAACCAAACTTGCCCAAATGATGCATCAAGGGATGAAAACTCTCAAACTTGCTACAGATGCTGGATTTTAATCACATTTTTGTGACAAAGAACTAGTTTGAAGTTTTTATATAGGTCCAAAGTATCCGATCAAAATTGCATAAATTTTGAATGTACACTTTTTGTTGGGTCATTGTGTGACTTTGCCTTACTTAAAGACAACATTCGTTGAGGTGAGCTCTGTAATCTCTGATTACCTATGTTTTACTGATGTTTATGGAATTAGAGTCGTATATATTAGTTATCAGACTGGGGGTCCTACAGACTTAGAACGGCTGGTATAATTGTTAATGTCAGAAGACTGTGAGTATGACAGATAAATAGGCTAATTGGGGAAGACTGATTTGTCTTCTGGAATTACGGGGGAACCTGTAACTCAGCACACTTCAGGCTCGTATGCAGAAGCTGAACTTTGTCATTCGGTTTTCATTAAGGTATTGTTTTAGTCATGTGTAGCAGAGGATGCTCCAGATATGCTTTAGTTATAAAGGTAGAAAATTCAGGCATTCTGTTGATGGGGTTAGATTCATTATGTCAATTAAGTGATATGCTCCTAAATTTTGTCAGAGATCATTAAGAAATTTACTTCTATACCTGAATTTGCAACATAAGCCAAAATCAGAATAGAGGTATTTTTAAAAATGTTTATTAGTTAATGACAATGCATGTTGAAAATCTGAAGTTAAGAAATACATATGTACTCTAGGAAACATGTTGTATTTTCTTCACAAGGTTGGATCATGAAAGTATGTATATGTGATTAACTTTAAAAAAAAAAGATTCGTTCAGAGGTCTTTAACAGACTGAAGCCTATGTAAGGACATTGATCAGGAATGATACATCATTATAAGGAGGATGAAACAGAACTCTCGTCCTAAAATTTTAAAGTACGGTGTAGGATTCCTTCACTTTGTCGGATATAATTTTATAACCATCGATCGTGAAAGGCAATAATCAGAGAGACATTGAACATTTCTATTGCTGTATTAGGGCCTAGCTGTCTTTTAACTGTGTGTCTGTCTGTCTATAATTGTAGGTTCGTGACAGGTATACATCCATCACCAGTGATTTAAGTTAATTTGGTTACTTCCCTTTTGGGGGAGAATGTGCCCATTTCCTGTAAATGATCTATTGTGAAGCCACAGGAAGAACTGTCCCTGATAATGGGCTAACACAAAGACTGATCTATGTAGGGTTAATTTCTGTCACAAAAGGAATACCTGATAATCAATAGGTGAGAAGAGAGTGGTGGTCAGGTCTGTTACATCATCCTCAAAGGCTCAAACAAATGGGGTTAGAAATGTTGGACCGCGAACTTGGACCAAATTCAGGATTTGAAGATGTATATTTCTAGATATTTAATGCACTTCATTAAAGAAATAAAAGAACAGTTGAAAAGAACTTATTTTGTTCAACTTAAGGATATAAAGGTGTATGTTTGTGAATAATGAATACATTTCATTAAAGAAATGAAAGAACATTTAGTCAGACCTTTGGCCAACTGACAGATTTACAGATTTGAAGATGTATATTTTTAGATATTTCACTGAATTAAAGAAATTAATTAATTAAAGAACAGAGTTTTACACAAAAACAGAGGATTAGAAAGTGTAATGGTCAAAGAGCAGCATGAATGTTTTGCAATTGATTAGAAGTTAGGTCTGGATCTCATGATCATATTTCACACACCTAACAAAGTTCTGCTCGTTTGCATACATTTTAAGGCATCCATATTCCAACAAATTCCCTGTAGTGGGATGTAACGGTCAGTTCTTTCTGCAATCCATCTGCTCTTCATTACAACTGATGGGGAGTCACGACTGATTGAGAGGCAGTCATTGTTTACCCCCTTGTACTCGGGGGATACATGTAGTACATCTCCAGTAGGTGTCAAGATATGCCAGGGAATGGGTACTTAGTGTTCCAAGAAGCTCATCTCAACAAATTGACACTTGAAAAAGCCTGTAGATCTTGATGTAAACATACATTAATCTGTGGTACCTACATGTAAATCATTGCTTCACCACTAAGTGATGGGTCTGACCAGTAGTGTACCCAAAAAGTCAGTTCCAACAGAATTAAGACAAAAAATGTTGACCTTTGAGTTATAGATGTGTAATAAAATTTGTACCTGGTGAATCTATTCAATGCCCACTAAAGAGAGGTCCTATGGCCTGCTAATCAGGACTCTGTGGGGTTTTTCATGGAAAGGGCAGATGGTTTTTTCCTAAGGTTTGGACAACAAAGCAAATTCCCTGTGGTCAGTTTATGGGATTTGCAGTACTCCTCCTACAGTTTTGGTCTGATTTCAGTATAACTTGGCACACAAGAAGAATACACTAAGATACATAATTCTGTGTATCAATTTTTGATTTCGATGAACGGTGTTGCCGTGGTTACTAAAAATAGAAATTTCTGTGAAATTGTTTCAAAATGCTACTCCTCCTACAGTTTTGGTCTAATTTCAATATAACTTGGCACACAAGTAGAAATAATAATTCTGTGTATCGGTTTTTGATTTTGATGAACGGTGTTGCCGTGGTTACCAAATTGTTTCAAAATGCTATGTTTTTTGGTCTTTTCAGTATAACTTGGCACACAAGTGAACACTAAGATTAAAGTGCATTTTTGAATGAACGGTGTTGCACAAGAAATTTTCTGTGAATATATAACAGTTTTGGTCTTTTCAGTATAACTTGGCACACAAGTAGAATACACTAATATAATTCTGTGTATCAATTTTTGATAATTTAAAAATGCTTTTAAATTGTATGCTATTCCTACAGTTTTGGTAATTTCAATATAACTTGGCACACAAGTAACACTAAGATAAAATTTTGATTTTGATGCTTGTGATTAAAAATAGAAATATCTGTGAAATTGTTTCAAAATGCTACTCCTACAGTCTGTTTTCAATATAACTTGGCACACAAGTAGAATACACTAAGATACATATTTCTATTTATCGGTTTTTGATTTCGTTTAATGATGTTACCATGGTTACTAAAAAATAGAAATTCCTTTGAAATTGTTTCAAAATGCTACTCCTCCTACAGTTTTGGTCTGATTTCAGTATAACTTGGCACACAACTAGAATACACTAAGATACATAATTCTATATATCGGTTTTTGATTTCGATGAACGGTGTTGCCGTGGTTACTAAAAATAGAAATTTCAGTGAAATTCTTTCAAAATGCTACTCCTCCTACAGTTTTGGTCTGATTTCGATATAACTTGGCACACAAGTAGAATACAATAAGATACATAATTCTGTATATCGGTTTTTGATTTCGATGAACGATGTTGCCGTGGTTACTGAAAATAGAAATATCTGTAAAATTGTTTCAAAATGCTATTCCTCCTACAGTTTTGGTCTAATTTCAATATAACTTGGCACACAAGTAGAATACACTAAGATACATTATACTGTATATTGAATTTTAATTTTGATTGTTGCCATGGTTACTAAAAATAGAAATGTCTGTAAAATTGTTTCAAAATGCTACTCCTCCTACAGTTTTGGTCTGATTTCAAGATAACTTGGCACACAAGTAGACTACACTAAGATACATAAATCTGTATATCGGTTTTTGATTTCGATGAACGATGTTGCCGTGGTTACTGAAAATAGAAATATCTGTAAAATTGTTTCAAAATGCTATTCCTCCTACAGTTTTGGTCTGATTTCAATATAACTTGGCACACAAGTAGAATACACTAAGATACATTATACTGTATATTGAATTTTAATTTTGATGAACGGTGTTGCCATGGTTACTAAAAATAGAAATGTCTGTAAAATTGTTTCAAAATGCTACTCCTCCTACAGTTTTGGTCTGATTTCAAGATAACTTGGCACACACGTAGACTACACTAAGAACATAAAGAGACTTTATCATCAATCATTATTCTATTTATTGCTGTTGTAAAGTTTCAAATCCCAGCTGCTTAAGTACTTTTCTCTTCCTTTGCTATAAGTTCAAACCAGTAGAGCTTCAGTCTCGACAGAGACTTCTGGTTTTCTAAGGTGTGGAAAACAAAGCAAATTCCCTGTGGTCAGTTTATGGGATTTGCAGTTTTAGTTCAAGGACATATGCAGTTTTTTTTAAAAGGATTAACCAGGTGGTAATTAAACATGGAGAAATAAATCTTACAGCCTTCCAACTTTGTTCCACACTATGTTTCTTGTGGCACTGAACTGATTAAAGTGCAGAAAAGGGACACAAGATTTCAATATATAAGCTTTGTAAACAACACTGGCATAATATAGTAATATAATTTAATGCTTTTATGGTATATTCTCAATATTTAGCCAGGTAAACAGATAAAATTATAGATGTGCTTGTGATTATAAAGGGGTATATGCAAAATTATGCATATACAAGTGTTTAACGTTTTTGTCCAGACAAGCTGTGTTTATTGTTCAAACAACAGTATAATTTTGTCATCAAAAATAGTTTCGTGGGCATTTAATTTAAACAAACAAATGTTCTTCAAAGCTGTGTAAGTAATTCCTATTCAATATATAGTCATGCAAAAAAACTTTATGTGGGATTAACTAATTTTTCTTGTTTGTAATATTTAATTGACAATACATAAAATCCAAATTGCTATTTTTATCAGGTATATTATTATTGTAAAATTTATTGTAGAAGTTATTAATAATTTCTTTTTAAAAAAAATTGCAAAAATTATAATTTCATTTTTTTTGTACAAAGTTTATATCTACTGGAAAAAAAATCAGTTTTTGCTATATATTATAATGTAGTCTTTTCTCCACATTATATAATCTATATGCAAAAGAAAGTCAATATTATATGTGTGATAAAAAATATTGCCCTCGTGCCTAATAATACCTACAAAAAGCATTTTTAATGAAATAATTCACTTTATTTTAAATACACAGAGAAATTAAAATATATCAAAAAATCCCCAAAATTGCTTTATTTGGTTATGTAAGAGAGGACCGGTATAAGGAATTTGCCTTGGAGAAAAGTCTGTGTTATGGTCACCGCGATGTCAACAAAAACATTAGTCAAAGCACAATTTCAATGACAACAATGAAATTTAAGCCAGCGCTTTATCACTGGACAATGAATTTATTGCATAAAAATGAAGTCACTGAAGTAAGGGGTGGGATTAAGTTAATCCTAATCTGCTTAGGAAGTCATTTAGATGGATAAAACTGATTTAAGTATTGTGAAGCATATTGACTATTATGTCACTTCAAAAGGTTAAAATGATCAGCAGTGATTGTTCTCGTTCTAGTCGTAACCGAAAAAAGATTTTATTGAAATTCTATAGAAAATTACATGACCAACATTGATTCTATTTAGGTGAAGGGGACTAATTATGATGGAAACATTGGGAAATGATGCAAAGTTATGTTCTTCTTAATGGGAGGAGAAACTAGAGGGGTTTTTAATCTCGTTTATTGATTTTGGAGGCACTGTGATTTAATGAAACATATTTGTTGTAAACATGACCATGTAGAAAACAAGAAGTGGCGATATTGATTTTATGAGAGAAATAAAACATTTTTGGTGTACCTTTCTTGCAGGTAAGTCAAGCCTAATAGGTTTTCTTCAAATCAAGCTTTATTACAATCTCAAGTCCTTAAAATATTGCTTTATGATAAAGATCTCTTTATGATTAAAAATCACTGATTTTTTAAAGAATCTTTATGTAAATATAAAATAAAAACTAAAGACCAGAAAAAAGAAAGATGGCAATAATTATAAAAGATAGCATTTTTAAAATTAATTGTTTTCTTTTTTTTTTACATCCTCCTTTAAAAAAATACATATATTTAATATCCTCTTGGCATATAAAAATAATTTCATTTCTTTGAACATATGAGTGAAAATCGCGCTGCCTGCTGTGACAGAGGTGTGAAATAAAAGCCCTCATTAGGTTTGGATCTATTCTGTCCAGGGTGCCACACAATAATTATCTCCCCTGTGAGGAGTATAGTGCCAGACTGTGATTTCTGGCTCATTATGTGGGGGACCTAATTAATTAGGGGGGAATATATAGAAATCTTGTAAGAACATGCATATGTTAATTTGGATTCAGCAGCCAACAGATCAGCTGTTAGCTATATAGGTGGGAGGTTCCATTGTGTACATAGCCAGTTGCCAGTTTTGTATATTGTGTTGAGTGTATGCGAGCTTGACACTTTGTGCTATAGTGTAGATAAACAACAAGATAGAAGGCATATATTGCCTCTTATTAGCTGTAGATCTTGAGATATTAGCTATCAGGCATGATGCAGCTCTTCAGTAGAAAAAGGTGAGAGAATGCATTTTGATTTTTTATTGTATCTGGATGAAGATGGTCATATAAGATATAATTTAAGAGCAGGTTTTAGCACTGTTTGCTTTCTTAATTATGACATCTATAACCTTTCTTTTTTATAACAGTCTATTACAAGATTCTTTAACATTCTCTCTACATTGGTGGCAGTGGTGATTTTTGAAAAAATAATAAATCATAGTTTCCTGTAGGTCTAGAATATGTAAGATTTTAACACATGATGGCTGTTTCTTATATGTGATTTTATGAATTTAAAAAAGATTGTAATTATTCACAGCTGTTTCTGATTAGATATTCATAGAATTTGTAAGGATAAAACCTGCTTCCCCTGGAAGTCAGCGTGTAACAGATTGAATAAGGAACTGTGGGGTCCGCTTCCTTTCAGCATTATTCTCACTCGCTTGTTATTCTGCAAGATGTTGCCATGAGATATTAATACAAACTCGCTTTGACTTGTGGTTTTCTCAGGATCTGTCCTCACTGTGTGTTATAAATTATTTTTTATATATAAAAGATTAACAATGGCTGCAGAGAGAACATTTCAATTTGATTGTGATAATTGAGAAAGGGCAGTGATTTTGCTGGGAGAATTGAAAGTTTTTACATGATGCTTTTACAAAGTATGTGTATTATTTATATTCTTAACGTAAGGATACATTTGGATTAACATTTTTTGGTAAAGTTAAAACAATGGCATACTTTATTTTGCCAAGTGCTTTAAGTGTTAGAAAAAAATGTTAAAATTAAGGGTCTGCAAATTAAGTTTTTTTTGCAATAAATAAGAGGGTGCTTGTTTGTTTTTGTTTATGCACAACATCAACATATACGTACCATGAGTTTTCACTGTATGTACTAAAACAATGGAATCATATGATACCACTCAGGCCTAATCTTGTAGATAAATATGTAAATTTATACACTGTAAATTCAAGATGTGTGTGACTGGGCATAATTTTCACTTCACTTTCACTCATTATAACAGAACACTTATACCCTTCTCATCTGGAAGTGGGAGTATCAACATTATAGTTTTATTACGAGAGGAAAATTGTCCTACACATGAACTTCTGGAATCTGTCGTATCCAAACTGAGATTGTTTTTGTACTTTGATAGTCTGGCAGTGATTTGTGAGATGTATTTTAGTTATATTTTTAATTCTGTATCTTTGCAGGCTGCAGTTGATTTAGTTGTCCCAGAGATCAGACTGCTTTGACCAGGGAGGACCCCAGTGTTCCTCCATTTTTACTTTGTTTTTTTACCGTGACATGGCCAGTGAGAAAAAGATGGTCCTCAATGACAGTGTCCCAGTCAGTTTGCTGACCGTTCGCATGATCATGCAAGGAAAGGTGAGTGGCCAGGTGTACCATAGTCTCTACCATAGGTAAAGGTGTGACAAATTCACAGTTCTCAGCCAGAATACAGAACGAGAGACTAATGATTAACACATTTACTATAGATACCTGATAGATAATTCCTCACAGTGGAGAATATCATCAAGTCGTGTGGTGCATTGAGAGTGAAATCTAAACCTTCGGTGATCATCCTATCCGTTGACACTGTAGCATCTAGTCTTTTGTTCTGCCAACATTATAAAGGAGTTTTTTTTTTTATTTTATATAAAAATCTTTGACAGAAACAAGACTTTTATCACGTTAATATCAGTGTAGCCTGGAGTGGCCTCATTTGTTTGCCATTTAACACCTAATTTGCCAAGATAAGATAGAAAGGAATCAGGGGCTTTCACTCGGAGCTGATGTGTAAAATTTGATTGAATTAGAGCTTTATTGATGATCTTAGAGAGCTATTAAGCTCTTGTTTCCAAAAATCTGTCATCACATCAGAATCATTGCAAAGCACCAAGATAGAGTCTTGATCATTTACCTATAAGAAATAGGGTGTGCTTGTGTTACATTAGATTAAGAAAGAGAAAAGGCATCTTAAAATGATTATCCTGCAGGTGACAAAAAATGATTCCAAAACAAGTGCAAAACAAAGCAGGGCATCCCCTCTCAAAGAGCATATAAAAAGAGGCAGCATTCAACATCAATTCCAGCAAATTACATCTGCATTTTGTACATAGGACAAACTAACCCCCCTTCCCACACACACTGTGTGCTATGTCTTGAAGGTCATCTGTAATCCATCTGACTTGCAGGGTCAGGGCAGATTTAATCTTTTGTCTCTGTAAATATCATTCAACAGTTGGCTTACTATATATACATGTACAATGTATATATAAATGTCATATTTTTGGTCATTTTATTCCTAAGGTTTCAGAATAATTACTTGTGAGAACTACTATATGATGGTTACTTGTGAACTATATGCTATGACTTAATGCCAGGTATCACTACATATAATACTGTCAGACTTTTATTGCTCCTGAGTTCACAGAGTTCAACATCCAACATTAGCGGGTAGAGGCTGATCAAATGACGTTTGTGAAATGTTATATATAACAGTTTTACTGCTAAAGTCTGTGTCAGAGTAATGTATTGAAGCAACAAAAACAGCCTTTTAGAACACCATATCCTGTTGGTTTAAGTGGGTAAAGTTTGTTTCTGTCTAATTCTCATATCACTGGTTCAAATCTTGTTGACAACAAACAAGAAATGATAGACTCTGATACCCTCCAGTTAGTTAAGTCTGAATTTTTTTAGGGTTTGGGATGGGGGTGTTAATTATTGTCTTTTGAATATTTTTTCCCCAATTCTTTCTGAAAACATTTGAATATAACTATATTGGTGGTAATCTGGTATATGTCCAGAATTCCGGTAATTCATCAGCTGTGATTACCACTAATTGTACAATGTGGCAGATTTAATTATATAGACTAAGCCTACATCTTCACTTCATTCTGGGAGTGGATTGTGAATTAGCTTGCTCCTTGGACCACTCAGAACAAGGTTAATTTACGTGCAATATCCACTTCTACTATAGGGCTAATTTGCTCTTGTCTGTTATGATGAAAAGCCATCTTTCCTTGCAATTCCTTCAATCTTTTTGTATTCCATTATTGCTGAGACATAATATCACCTAAGATGATTTTCTGCCTTCTGAGACCTGAAATCTTCAAGAAGTTTATTAATTTTTGCCAATTTTGAATCCTTTGAGTCGGTTTTGTTTTCTCTGAGAAATATTGCTTTACTGTAGTCTCAGGTATTATTAATGATTCTCTGATGCTTTTCTGTGATGTATTATAGGTCTGGTAAAGTTTAGATTTCTTCTAATCAACCGGGGCAGATTGTTAAAAATAAGGAGGAAAGATGGAGAGAGAAAATCGCTTTTAAAAAGTGTTAAAATTGGCTGCTCGGTTGTACTCATAGTGAGTACCAAAAAGTAGGCCAGATAACCCCCCTACCCTCTACAAATAAAATTTTGAAGATAATCCGTAGATAGTGGGGAAAACCGGAATCTTGATACAGCGTTGTTGACTGAAATCTTCTGTAATTGATGGTGGAAGGTTGATGTCAAATCGGAGACACCAGTGAATGACAGGCCATAATATGTATGGACCAGTCTGAAGCTTACCAGGGGATGCTATAGATCAGCTTAAAGTCTGTTGCAGAGCTGATCTGGTTGTAAAATAGAAACCTTGTATTGAGAAAGAGACATGTTTTATTGGATAGAAACCAAAGCCTATGGATTTTTTTGGGAATTTAATCATTGCTAAAAAAAAATCAGAAATCCAGCATTTATGGGGAAAAAACCTTATTTTTGTGCCTCTATTAGTTTTGAATTGCTGTAGGATTCTTTTATTTTTACCTTTTTGGAAAAAAACACTTTCATTTTTGAAATTCTAAGTCTGTAGCTTAAGCATGTTAAGTGAATACAAGTTTTTGTCTTAAAAAATAAGAAAAAAATCAATGCTTTGAAAAATGACCAGCATTATTTCTAAATAATGTTTACAGTCATTTTGCATCCTAGCAACTGTTAGTTAAGTCTTAGTATCAAAGACTGCATCTCAATTATCAATGAAGAAAAGAGAAGTCATTATAGTTTTTACAGTCCTTATTATTACCAGGCTAACGACAAAGTCTGGCTAATAATGTCCACTTATGTGTTGAAGGAATGGTACATTTAAGATATTTTTCTTGATCACAAACATTTTCTACAAGCAATCTTATGTGCATGATCAAGCAGAGAAAAAAATATTGGCCAAAAAAGTATTTACGGGTAGAGAAACATGCTTTCTCTGAAAAAAAGGACAAAAAAATGGCATTGACAAATGGTTGTAACTGCTCATTATGGTTGTTTTGGAGTGTTCATTTCCTAATGAACATGATTTTTATTGATCGTGTTCTGAAAATGAAATGATTCCATGATAATTTGATAAGCTCAGGTTACAAGTAATGACAAATAATTATATAACAAGAGGTTGTTTTCTTTTTACTTGGAAAACAAATTCTGATGAGATTTTTAAATATGAATTAAGAACACATCATAGTTATTACATGTGTAAAATTCACTTGGCTAAATATTTATGTAAGTACTAAGAATGCTCATTAACACACAGAACCAATAACTAAACTCTTGTTTCTTTATTTTACAGGAGGTTGGGAGTATAATTGGAAAGGTCAGTATATACTTTCAGTTTTGTTCTAATATGTATTTGGCATCATTGTTATGACTTGAACTTCCTTAGTTGTAACTATCTTTTTTTTCTTTATCTTTCCAGAAAGGAGATAATATCAAGAAGTTTAGGGAAGATGTAAGTACCATTTTACTTACTCATCAAGGGGAAAACTGATGTTTTTGAAATACAGTTGAACATTAATTCTCTTAATTAACACTGAACAATTGAATACCATGGATGTGTTGAACTGAACACCTAGTATTCTCAAAGTGTTTTATCCTCAATGACTTGAATTTGTAGATATCTTTGAACTTTTTCCTCAGTTCCATCAAGTTCAATATAATGATATTTATCTGTAATAAGTAAATTATGTGTTTTATTGTAGAGTGGTGCTAAGATAAACATATCAGATGGCTCTTGTCCAGAACGAATCGTCACAGTCACAGGAACAACGGAATGTATTCACAAGGCGTTCACAATGATATGTAAAAAGTTCGAAGAAGTAAGTTCTCTCTGAATTTATTGTTAGTCACTGAGTAAAAATGTTTATCTCTAAAAAGGGCTTTTTTTTTATTTTTATTCCCTTTTAATGATTTTTCTTCTAAAGTGAATTTTTCAATTGATATGAAAGTAACCTGTCTTGGCATTCTGCACCTCATCCTTTAGGCCATAACTAAGTGTTTATCGGACCTAGTTCTTTAACAAGATGTACTTGTGTTACAGGACCTACAGAACACCCCCACAGTGCCTAAACCTCCCGTCACACTGCGATTGGTGGTTCCTGCGAGCCAGTGTGGCTCCCTCATAGGAAAAGGGGGATCCAAAATCAAGGAAATTCGGGAAGTATGTACACTTAACTCACGATGGAGACTGGTTCTTGTAGGCAGTGATGATGAACCTAAACAAGTTAATGTTATCCTCTTTATTGAACAAATAATCCTCAAAGAAAACAAAATACAAATGAAACGTACATCAGATAATTCTTTTTTTAAAAAAATTATTATGAGCTAGAATAGTAAGATGGGTTAAAGAACTTCCGTGGGATTCTCTGGATCAGAAAGGGTGTTTTCTGATTCCTGCCACAGCCATCAAAACACTGGTATTAATTGATCAAGAATCAGCAGATGGTTGAAGAGAGCTGCAGTTTAAGAGGTTTATTCATGTTTTCTGTCTAAAATCTTTGGTCTACTAAAAGTAAAAGTAAACAGGAGATTGGTATCAGATGTTGGGACTGATTATAAGCATATAATTCAAACAGATTTATAGAAATGTAATATATTGGAAGTCATTTTTCATTGGATTTGTAGAAATGTTCTGAATTCCACAAATTATAGGAGGATTTCTGTTTTTTATTTAAATCTTTGGAGTTCAGGAAGAGATTTGCCTGTTCTAGAAGCATATGTTGTTATGGTTTTCCTACAGCCTGTTTGAACAGAAACTCTATCTTTACATATGTTTCTTGGCCTTAATAATGTTGTAAGTGGTGAGAATTTTTTCTCTAGAAATTGAGAATTATCCAGACATTTGCACTAGCGTGAACTTGTTTGACCCATAATACACTGCTGTAATAGTCTTCGGTAATGTTGATTTCCAAAACATCTTTCTCTGCTACCTTGGGCAAAGAAAACAGAAGTTTTGTGTGAGATCATGTAAAAATACTCTCACTGACTTTCCAGATGAAAGAAATATGAGACTGCACAAAAGATGAGCTGACCCATTAATGAAAACGAGAATCATATTTTTTTATCTTTATTGCCAAGTGTATTCCTTGTAAATGAAGTCCAGGTGCCATGGGGGAAGGATCCGTGGATTCAGTCCTGGCACTGGGAACCGGGTGTTGACTAGAGAATGCCATCATAATTACACCTCTCATGGCCAAGAATGCCGCTCTGTATAAATTGTCATTACTGTACATATTCCCCGGCTTCTCACCACTTAGGTTAAATCAGAAAAACCTGTCTGATGGCAATAATTATCTAGAGGTTACCCCAGGAAAAAAAAACGAATGTCTCCACTCTGCTATATGCCTCGCTAGAAATTTTCGTAGGGGGAACTTCTAATTACACACTTGGCATAAAACAGGATCTATTTTTAGGTGAGAAGTGAAATACATGAAAAAAAGTTAATGTGCAAAGAGAGCTGGATTAGATTTAGAAACAGATTGAAAAAGTAAATCTCTGTGACAGAATTCCTTTTCTTTCGGGGTTAATACATTCTAATTTCGTTCACATAATGGACTTAAAAATATTATTGTACTTTTGGAGATTTTATTTTCTTTATTAAGTCTAAAATCCCTAAAGCCTTCCTTACTCAGCTGTAAACTATTTTCTATTCATCACAACTCAGTGAGCTTACAAATAAGTATTGAATGCCCAGCTCAAAATTAAATAAATAAATGATTTATTGGCCTAGAAGTAAATCACATGATAGATTTCAATGAATTAAAAATTTAAAAAGAAAATTAAAATTTATAATCACTTCAAAAATGAAAATCACAAGAAGAATTAAAAATTTTAAATTACATGTTTATCAAACTAAGTGCATGTTGAACTCTTGAATTGCATTTAAAAATAACACAATATATAAAATATCATTACATATATGAGTCTTATTTTTGAAGAGGTCAAAATAAATTATTCATTGTGAAAAAAATAATAAGTCAGACCAGTAATGTATATTAAAGTATATTTTGTTTTTCAGACTACGGGTGCTTCAATACAGGTAGCATCAGAGATGCTTCCTAATTCCACAGAAAGGGCAGTAACTGTGTCGGGCACAGCGGACGCCATCACACTCTGTATACAGAATATCTGTGGCATCATGATGGAGGTGAGCCGCCTTAAGCATGCTCTGTATTCAGTATAGGACTCCAGTCTTATTTCACATTGTAAAAAAAAAATATGATGAAATCTCCCTGTAAAAATACAAGTCAAGTTAAAATGATATCCTCAGATAAATATTGATATTGCCCTTTAAAGTCACTGCGTAGTAAGCATACTTTTACAGTAACTTCAGAATTTTGTAGGCTGTTAGGTCTATACATGATGCAAGTTAGAAAAATTTGTTTTGAATTGATTTTGAATCCAATTAAGTTCTTCTCGATACTTTGAGTTAATTGTTATTTTTCTGGGTTTATCTACAGCTAATCTTGCCCTAAGAACAGAGTGAGAACTCGCGTACGTTTACCTCATTCAGTCATAGTTATACCCCCAAAATGTTCTCACCTCATTTGCTTCACAAAGTTTTCTAACCTCCTTATAATTGTTCAGTTTTCTTGCACAAAATATTCCAAATACCAAACGCTTCTACTAAAGTTTACCTGCATCTCTTTAAAATGATTAATGTGATGTATATTTGTACAATATCAATTTATTTTCATTTGAGAGAAGTTTGTGTTTCTACATTGTTGTAACATATTTATCTCTATATACATACGTTTTATTCAGCGACCACTAAACTGATTCGATTTTTTACTCCTCAATTTTCCAGGCGTCAGAACAGGGGCGTGCCTGTCTCCCTTTGTCACCATGGTTACTGCTTTTGTCCTTATTGACTAGTATTGTAGCTAATTATGTCCGAAACAATGGCTGAGAATATGATATTAGCTCCTCAGAATTCTGTTGTTGTAGAGATGACCCCCTGCTGTACCCGGCCCTCTGCTTAAGTAGATGAACTAACTGGATTGCAAATATTAACTCAAGCTGTTGGTGTTGTGGCCCCATCTTGTCAAATTCTCAGATTCTTTGTGCGCAAGACATGCCACCCTCCTAGTATCCATAAAATATCAAATTATGTTAAAATCATATAAATTGCAGAAAAAAAGTAAAAAAGGACAATATTTTCTTCTGTTTACAAGTCTGAGACTATGAAATCATTTTGATGCCATTGTTTCAACTAAATATGGTAAAATGCTGTAGCTATATGACTCTCTTCCTTCTATGTGACCTTTAACCTTTGGTATTTGACCTCTCCTCTTCCTTACGCAGTCCCCTCCCAAAGGAGCAACTATCCAATACCGTCCAAAACCTGTGGTCCCTCCGGTCATTTTTGCTGGGGGTCAGGCATACACTGTTCCTGGACAGATACAAGGGGTTCAAGCCACTGAGGTAAGCCACACCTCTGTCGTGGGTACTGAGTGATTTTAGTTTGAATGGAATTTTTATTTTTATCAAAATGACATGCTCTTGATGCGGTGCCTATAGTTTATACACTCAGAATTCAAGACCATCGTTTTCTGCAAAGTTTTAAGTTTTAGTTGTGTTTTTATTTCTTTTTGTTAGTAGAGTGTGTCAGTGAAGAATTTTGAAAAAAGTTTTTTTCTCACAATTTTTTTATCACTAACCTTATTGCTTGTTTTGAATGGCAAGGTCTGTGATTTTTTTAATAGTGTAAATAAATCCATCAAATGACCTCAATTACTTAAATTTCACAGAAAGAAAGACTTGGAATTCCGAAAGTGGAGGTAAATTAGAAAACCCTAGACTAGACTTAATGACTATATATCTGGGAACTCTTTTAATTAATGCTTTGTGAGAGAAAAGGAATTCAGTGTAGCCTAGCATTCAGTGGTTGTAGCACTAAGTACTAACTCGCACTGTACGTTTTCTGATTTGTTAACACTTGGAGTATGTATGGTAATTAGTTTTATTAATCAGCCTTTCTCCACTTCTCTGCTGAGTAACTAATTTTTTTAGATATATACATGCAATGACTTGTAATTGGTAAAGTTTTTAAAAGATGTTGTTCATAAAACTTGTTGAATCCTTTCACAGAAAATAAATTTTTGATATAAAATAAGTTTACACAAATTTTTGTCATTACTAATTCTTTATTAAATCCTGACTTCAGGTGTAAGTCACACGACTGTCATATGACTGTTCAAACATTTATAAGATATCTAGGTTGTAAATTTTATATTTTGGTAAAGAGCAGAATTTTTCTCAGAAGAAAAAAGTGAATATGAAATATAGATAAATAATAAAACATGTTTATTGTCATCAAATGGAATAGTTTTGCCATTATTGTAGGAAAATTTGGTTTACGCATCTTTAACTTTTCCTACAATGCTAGCAATTGCCTTATCCAAGCTACATTGACAGAAACACACTTCGTTGTTTACTATTAGATATGTCAAGCTACTAACCAAATTTGTCATAAAAAATGGGAGTCGGTATAAAACAGAGAGAAGTGGACAAAGCTGGCCGGGTGTTTGAAGCCTGCATGGAATTCTCACCAGTCCTAACATAAGACACAAATTGTTATTACTGTCTATCACATATTAACCAAGTTTTTCTGTCTCAATTTAAAAAAGATCTCTACATTTCTATCAACTCTTCTCTACTGAATATGATTGACTGTTAATTCTTTAAAGTGATTTTGAATTTATCTTTGTTCAGTGAACTTGAAGTTTGATAATATTATATTTTCCTTTTGTTTTTTGAAGTTATCCAAGTTGCATCAACTGTCACTGGGACAGCCCATTCCTATTATTCCTTGTACATCACCACAGCTAATTCCAGGTAAAATTATTACCTTAATCAGAGTGATTATTTAATAAAAGACAGTGAGAAGTTCATCAAACATTACAGAACAGTTTTATTTAAGCTTTAATTTTCTGTTTTTAGCCACAATGCCAGGGTTACCCCACATGGCTGCTGCGTATCCCAGGGCAACCAACACGATGCCACAGGCACTTCCTGCTCAGCCACAACAGCAGCAGACGACAACAGAAATGGCGATTCCAAACGACCTCATAGGCTGTATAATAGGCAGGGGTGGACAGAAAATTAATGAGATTAGGTATAAATCTAAAAATAACCATTCCTAATGACGTCATAGGCTGTATAATAGGCAGGGTTGGACAGAAAATTAATGAGATTAGGTAGATATCTAATAACTGACCATTCCTAACGACATCATAGGCTGTATAATAGACAGGGGAGGACAGAAAATTTATGAGATAAGGTATTATGTGGATCCAAAATAAAAGGTTTTGAAAGCCCATACTGTTAAAAACTCCTTGTAAAATGCATAAATGGATTATGGATAGGTGGGGTGGATAAGAAAGATACATTTTTTTTTAAATTAAATGGACACAATTTCTAGAAAGGAAAGATTTTAGGTAATATCTTTCCAGATTTTTGCTTTGACTTAGAAAATATATATGCAAGAGTATGTTTCTTTTCACAGACAAATGTCAGGTGCTATGATTAAAATTTCCAATGCGGAGGATGGGGCTCCAGATAGAAAAGTGACGATTACAGGGACACCAGAAACGATTGGTCTAGCTCAGTACCTGATCAACACCAGGTGTGTATACCCACAACAGGTGTATTACTACTGATCAGCGGGGGGCATATACTAGCATATCAATCTAAGAACCCCCTATTACAGGAGGTTCCACACAGACAAGCAGGTTTTATTGGGCATTGTCAAATTTTATAAATGGTGCATAGCTTTAGTAGATATATTGTTACTGAGAAAGCAAGGAATTCCTAGAACAGAGATGTGCTGTTTTTATAGTTGTATTCTGTAATACAAGAAGCACTTGACAATTTTGTATGATAATTATTTAATTTTTCACCACACCATTACAAGAAATGAAATGATGCCTAATATATATACTGTTTTTTATTCATGTTGTTTTTTTACGAGATTATTTGAGTGTAGATAATAGAGTAGATTTCAGTTTTGCTGTGTGTTTTAATAACTTTAAAGACAAAGAAGCAAATTAGGTATTTATTTGTATGAATATGTAAAACCGTTGAGTCAATTTTGTACATAAAATGTTTTATTATTTATTATGAGTGTTTACATTTTGTATGAAAATGTGTATAGAATGTGTTACTGTGCTGGCATAATACTCATGTTAAAATGGTTGTGCTTTTGAGGACATGGGCATTTTGATTCAAAAATGCTGGTTTCTCATGCTACTGTTATAGAATTTGACTGTTGTATATTTCCAATTGCAAGAGTATAAAATATACAAGGGGTCATAAATCATGAAAGGGCAGTTCTACATCTATAGAATCAGGAAAAGAGAATTTAGCAATGTGATATTAGCACTGTTTAGTCAAGCATAAGCAATGAAAATTGTGTAGAGTTTTGGGGGCATACATCCAAGCATTTCATGATGCAAGACAAAGGGGACTATGTATATTGTTATTTTGTACATTAGTTACAGTTACACTATAAGCAAATGAATATGATTAGAAAGTCAAATAAAGATGTAATTATATGAAAGAATGGGAAGATAATTTTATAGAGACACATTCAAGACTAAAATATTATAAGGGGAAATAAATCTGGTATACAAATGTACTCTGTACATAATGACACATAGAGAGGACCATATAGATGGGCTCTTACACAAAACAGATATATTTGTGATATACTTTTTCATCTATATTGGACACTGGACAATCCACTTATTGTAGTGGTATATGGGACGAACTATTGTGTTGAGAAGATATTTTTGGTGACTGTCAATTTCTCATTACATATGCATTCTCAGAAGGCAGCTTGTAGCTATTGGGCAATTGTTTACTTTTCATGAAAATAGTTGGAAACATTGAATTTTCTGTTTGATTTGAATTCTGGTAGATTGACCTGCCAACACAAATAACCTTTGAACCCTATATGGAGACTTAAATTTAAAAAAATTGTGATAAAAAATAAAATTTAATTGTGTCTCAGGATATTTTTTGAAAAAGTCAAAGACTTAGACACCATAATTGCACAGCAGTGATCATTGACAAAGACATCGCAGTTCAATTTTGACCAGTAAATTTGATCTGGTTAAATCTCGTCACACTAACCTGTATCTCCCACTAACCCCCTGGACCCCAGTAGTAACAAGTCGTTATATTTATTTTAGTTAATTTGTAGTTCATCCACAGCACTTATATTTATTTGTCAGTCATTGCTTCTGTTTTATTTTTCTGGCTAAAAACTTCATTTTTCTTTTTTTTTTTTTTTTTTGCAAATTTTGTTGTGTCTGAATGCAAATGCTGTACACAAGTGACTTGAGTGATACCTGCTTTTAGATCACACTACACCCATAGAATCTTAGATCCACCATGCAATTCTACAAGTTTCATACACAGGGTGGTTTTCATTTGTTGGGGAAATGTAGTAAAGCTTTTGAAAATCCCTAAAGCTTAGATGATATATCCACTCAGTATTTAGTTGTCCATATATTGTGTCATCTTAGAGTGTATATTTAAGTGAATTATTAAGCACATCTATAAAATTGCTAGAATACATGTACAGTCCATACTGTCAGTACATACACTAACAGTTGAAATCACAACTGTGTAATCATTTCAAGAATCATGCATTTTCTGTAGATTATTTGACAAATTTTAATTATAAATGATTTTGTCATATATCTGATTTCTTGAAATGTTTGTTATGTTGATATTGTTGTTTCATGAGGTTTGAAGTTCACAACAAGATCAACAAAGCAGGGACAAAGTCACACAAATATTTCGCTGCATTTTTCTGAGTGCAAAAATAGACCTTCACAGCTTTTTTGTTTTCTATCTACAAATTTAACCTTTGTCATAAGTTGTGGAGAGCTTTTTGAATTTTTACTAATTTTATTTTTTCTGTAACACTTTTTATCAAAAATTATTTTCAGTTTTCTTATATGAAGTGAAACTCAGAATTTTCATTGAAATATTTGCATGATTTTATTCCTGCATGGTTGTGTGAACTTTGACCTGTGTATTTGAATGGTTTATATATCCTATTCTAATACTTTTTCCCTTCCCTTTTTTCTTTCTGCAGCATGGAATTGCATAAGACTCTGACCCTTGACCCGAGTTCATCGACCCAAAATACTACCCCGACCTTGACCTCTGTTCAATCCCAACATGCACCTATGGCAATTCCAATCAATCAACTGGCGATGAAGCCGATACCATTTGTCGGATATAATGGACTTAGTGGAATTGCTGGAATAAATGGATTAAACGGGATAAATGGACTAAATGGACTTAATGTTCCAGTTATTGACAGTATGGCGGCAGCCAGTCAGAAAAATTTAACAACTAAAATGCGGGTCGGTCTGACCTCCGTTAGAGCGGACCCCAAGTTCTCCCCGTACTAAAGAGATGGGCTGTCGGGGGTTGGTGTACTTATGTTGAACTATATGTTAACATTTATTTTTTCCTTCATCCATTTTTTAAAGCAAAGTTGTTATGTCTAAAGCTTTACAGCATCAGATTTCCGCACTTTTAATGCCAAAAAATTTTCATTTTTCCCCTCATTGGTTTCAGTGTTTTCGTATGTGTAGCCTTTTTTGTTTCAATGTAATTTTAGAAAATTTTCCATTAGAGATGCACCACATATCGAAAACACATATCATAAGGATAATACATTAGACTAGGCCAGCAAGCACTGATTTTCATTTAAACAGTGGCAGCAATTGCATTGCATTAGTTTCTAGTTTCAAAATATATTTAATTTCAATTTTTTAAAAAATATTCAATCATGAATTGAATGGCTGCTCACTGGCCAAACATTTAAGTGCATTTCATGTAAATAAATAAAATGTGATAAAATTTGATTTTTTAAAGAAAGATATCACTTTGTTAATATATTTGTAATTAAATGAAACAATGAAATAAACCAATAATTTACTTTTTGGAATATGTCTATATTTTGCTATCTTACCAATTATTTTCTTGAAAAGTGATAGAAAATTTGTTAAATTTTTGGATGATGTTGATATATATTTTCTAGCTTTTTCTATGGTTCAACTACAATATATCTGTGTTTTTTTAACGTAGGTCTTTTAATGCCCAGATGATATTTTCCTTGTTATAAATTGCTAAAGGATATGTGTCTCACCTTTAGAGAAATCCATGCATTGAATTTTGTGCAAAAAATTTACTGGTTAAAATTGGTGATTAAAGTCGCAATTGTCCCTGATTTTTTTCTTTTTTTTTTTAAATCTGATTTTTTTCCCCAGGAGAAATTGAATTTCAAGGAGAATTTTGTGGTTTTATCTTATAAGTATTGTAGAAACTTGTAGTTTGTTGTGTTAATATTTATGATTTTATACATTTGTTGAAATATTACCAATTATGTATAAACTTAAATCATGAATGCATAGTGTTCAGATATTTATTGTGTTTTTTTTTGTGTGAAGCCAAAATATGGGTCTTTGAAGAGGGTACTTAAAATGCACCCCCACCACCCAAACTCGTTTTTCATGAGAGTGCTTAGTTAGTTTTCCTATGATATGAAAACCACTTGTTAAATCACAGAGATATTCTGTTTATTAATTATGTAATGTTGTTGATTTTGTTTATTGTAAGAAGGTTGAGCCCCAGAAGTTTTGATTTTCATAATTGTAGACTTTTTGATTGCTTGTCATAATTTTGTTGTACATTATTTATGGGTTATTCTTGCCATGAAGGTTGTATAGTAAGATAATCTTAACATTGCATTTGTGGTTGTCTCATGATTCTAAAAACTTGCTGTGCAGTTATGGTGATAAGGTAAATTAAGATGTTTTTGTAAAAAAAAGGAAATTGAAGTCCATGTGTAAAGTCAGCAGCTGACATCGTGCTTACCTAGGTTTGTATATCACGTGTGAGAACAGGTCACCTGTACATTCCAATAGAGCAAATATAGCCCAAGTATTGTTTTTATCTCAGAAAGAATGACTGTGGTCCTTAATTGAGCTTGTAACATCCCCCTTTTTTTGTCCCAGTTTAATTTATTCTTGCAGGCTTTCAGCAAGATTTAAAATAAAATAAATTTATTCAGAGTTGCTGGCAACAAATTGAAATTATTTATCTATACTGAAAAATTTAATGAAAGGAAATTGATCACTTATATCGGGTTAAGGGAGGGTAACTTATGTGTTGATTTTTTGACAAATGTCTCTTTTTATTGTATCCTTTAATTTTAAGGGTCACACTTTAGGTTAAGTCCCATTTTGTCATGTTTTCAATCAGTGATTTGCAATATATATATATATAAGTCAATTGTTTGAAGTGTATATATGTGGAGGGTTCTACCATATTTAAAATAAATACCTCAAGCAGGGTACACGTAATAAATGGAACGCTAAGCAGGCAGGAAAAAAAATCACGAAAATTCAGTTACTAGTTCACAAATCTATCTAGTCAAACTCTCACCTACGTGAGCTCATATTCCCGACATTTTGTTTTTATCATCGCTGACTGTGATAAATTCATTTTGATTTTTTGTTTTGCTTCACTCAGAAAATTGCTCGCTTGGTATTTCATTTACTGCGTGTACGCTAAACTATTAAAACTGTAAAGGTGAATCCTTATAGAGGCATAATCAGTTGATTGTTCATATTTTTTTTTTTGCAATATATATATAAACCTATAGATATATATTATCATGTTTGCAATATACATTTATATTTAGATACATGAGTTATTTGAGTTTCTTTGCATAAATGTTACAGTACAAAAATGACTGAAAAATTAATTTAAAAAAAAGATTTCAAGCTGTAAATTACATGAAATATAAAAAGAAGGTTCTCATGTTATGATCGAGCCATTGTCATTTCTTTCTTGTTTCTGCTAGTCATAATTTAAATTTTTTAGGCAAATGTCAATTCTAACATGAGTTGATAGAGGCAGCTTCTTTTTCAGTAAAATCTGTCAAAGAAATTTCTGTGTTATGAAATGAACTCAGTAGGATAAAGAACTAGCAGGGAAATGACGCTGGCTTTTGCAATCATTATTAGGAAACTGCCCAGTTGAATGCATGCTAATGATGGTTCACATGTGAAAAGTGTGCAATTTCTTTCTTTTTTTTTACTTGATAATTTATGACCAATAAATCTGTTTTGAAGAATGAAATACATTTTGTTTTATTTCATGCGCTCTGGTGGAATATTTGCTTATAAGTGGAGGAGTATCATGTATTATGACAGGCATTTGTGGAATAGATCTCCTGACCTGTTGCTATATATGAAAGGCTCTAATACAAGATTTATATGACAACATTTTATTGAACTGAAAGATCGGATTTTTAATGATGATGATTATGCCCCATTTGGAAGAAGGGAGGGCATATTGCTTTGCTGCTGTCTGTCGGTCCACCATCAGTTTCCATTCATTTTCTTCGCAGAGGTTGAACGTTCATTTTGAAATTTTGTATACAGATTATCATAAGAATATTTAGGTGAAGTTCTGTTGTGGGTATAATCAGGCCATTTTGGACAGAGTTATGACCCTTGGACTTAGAACAAGAGGCCCAGGGGCCACATCACTCACCTGAGCAACTGGCCAGGTGAAAGCATTAATCAGTTCAGTGTTGAAAAGGAGATGGGTGAACTTAGCATACAGGAAGCCCAATAGCTTCAGATATATAAGAATCATATTCAAATTGTGAATTTAGTATTTAGAGTAAAGTTCTCATCATTGATTTTTATGAAATCATGAGAAACAAAAAGTTTGAGGAAAATTTTTCGTTAAAATTTATTCTTTTATAAAAAGAAAATAATGTGGTATCCATTGGGTTCGAACCCTGGCAATAAAAATCCTGAGCTGTATTCTCTTTTGAGACCAGCACGCTAACGACTACGCTACACAATTCCTGATAATGTGTGGCATTTAATTCATGTTTGTGATATGACCATTGACTTAAGGGACTTCTAGTATTTCTCGAAAAGATATGAAAGTTATGTCATAAAATTATATTTTTAAGGTATAGTGGGTCTTTGCTCCATAATTTTGGAAACCAAAATATGTACGTTTTTATGCAAACTTTGAGGATTACCTTTCAAAAAAATGGAGAGAAGACCCACTTATAACGAATAATAGTATTATAGTGTGAAAAAAATGACTCGTTTTGTCCTCTTTCGTGTGTGTATAATATTTCATAGGCAAATAACTTCAATCTTCATGAGATTTGTGCAAGTTGTAGAGATTTTACATAAAGTATACTTAAATGTTAGATGAAATATTAAGGAAAATTTTGATATAATTGAGATTTAATTTTTCACCTTCATGTTTGTCGCGTTATGGGCTTATCTCTCGACATGTTCACCCATCTCCTTTAAATATATCATAAAAGCGAGTTTCATTTTTCCTGGCCCAGTGGTTCTTAAGAAGAAAATTTTTAAAATAATTTTCCTATGTATTCCTATGTTAAACTTTGATACCCCATTGTGGCTCCACCCTACCCCCGGGGGTCATGATTTGAACAAACTTGAATCTTCGCTACCAAGGGATGCTTCTACACAAGTTTCATTTTTAGCTCTACTGGTCAGAGACCAGAAGAGCTTATGCGATAGTAAGGTGTCCGTCATCTGTCCGTCTGTCTGTCTGTCTGTAAACAATTTTTCAAAACGCTACTCCTCCTACAGTTTTGGTCTGATTTTAATATAACTTGGCACATAAGTAGACTACACTAAGATACATAAGATAGTGCATCGTTTTTAAATTTCGATGAAAGATGTTGCCATGATTACTAAAAATAGAATTTTCTGAGAAATTCCTTTAAAATGCTACTCCTCCTACAGTTTGATCTTATTCAAATATAACTTGGCACACAAGTAGACTACACTAAGATACATTAAATAGTGCATCGGTTTTTGATTTCGATGAACGATGTTGCCATGGTTACTAAAAAGAGAATTTTCTGTGCAATTCCTTTAAAATGATACTTCTTCTACAGTTTTGGTCTGATTTCAATATAACTTGGCACACAAGTAGACTACACTAAGATACATAAAAAAAATGCATTGGTTTTTGATTTTGATGAACGGTGTTGTCATGGTTACTAAAAATAGAATTTTCTTTGAAATTCCTTTAAAACGCTACTCCTTCTACAGTTTTGGTCTGATTTCAATATAACTTGGCGCACAAGTAGACTACACTAAGATACATAAAATGGTGCATTGGATTTTGATTTCTATGAACGGTGTTGTCATAGTTACTAAAAATAGAATTTTCTGTAAAATTCCTTTAAAATGCTACTCCTTCTACAGTTTTGGTCTGATTTCAATATAACTTTGCACACAAGTAGACTACACTAAGATACATAAAATGGTGCATCGGTTTTTGATTTCGATGAACGATGTTGCCATGGTTACTAAAAATAGAATATTCTGTGCAATTTCTTTAAAATGATACTTCTTCTACAGTTTTGGTCTGATTTCAATATAACTTGGCACACAAGTAGACTACACTAAGATACATAAAATAGTGCACTGGATTTTGATTTCGATGAACGGTGTTGTCATGGTTACTAAAAATAGAATTTTCTGTAAAATTCCTTTAAAATGCTACTCCTTCTACAGTTTTGGTCTGATTTCAATATAACTTGGCACACAAGTAGACTACGCTAAGATACATAAGATAGTGCATCATTTTTAAATTTCGATGAACGGTGTTGCCATGGTTACTAAAAATAGAATTTTCTGAGAAATTCCTTTAAAATGCTACTCCTCCTACAGTTTTGGTCTGATTTCAATATAACTTGGCACACAAGTAGACTACACTAAGATACATAAAATAATGCATCAGTTTTTGATTTCGATGAACAGTGTTACCATTGTTACTAGAAATAGAAATGTCTGTGAAATTCCTTTAAAACGCTACTCCTTCTACAGTTTTGGTCTGATGGCAATGGCTTCTTTTCTCATCCTTTGTTTTAAGTACAAACCAGTAGAGCTACAGTCTCGACAGAGACTTCTGGTTCCTGGTGCAGTGGTTCTGGAGAAAAAGATTTTTAAAGATTTTTCCTATGTATTCCTATGTTAAACCTAGATACCCCATTGTGGCCCCTTCCTACCCCCGGGGGTCATGATTTGAAGAAATTTGAATCTTCGCTACCAAGGGATTCTTCTACACAAGTTTCATTTTTTCCTGGTGCAGTGGTTCTGGAGAAGAAGATTTTTAAAGATTTTTCCGATGTATTCGTTTGCTAAACATTGCATTGTGGCCACACCCTACCCCCGGGGGTTATGATTTGAACAAATTTGAATCTACACTACCTGAGAATTATTCGACATGAGTTTCATCTTTCCTGGATCAGTGGTTCTTGAGAAGAAGATTTTTAAAAGATGCTATTAATTTTTCACTAATTCATAATTATCTCCCCTTGGAAGATAACAATGCCCTTCATTTGAACAAACTTGAATCCCCTTTACCCAAGGATACTTTGTAGCAAGTTTGGTTGAAATTGGGCCAGTGGTTCTTGAGAAGAAGGTACAAATGTGAAAAGTTGACGATGACGACAACGACGACAACGACAACAACGACGACTACGGCAGACAACGGAAAATTTTTGATCAGAAAAACTCACTTGAGCCTTTGACTCAGGTGAGCTAAAAATTCCAATAATTTGCAGTTTCCGTTCATTTTCTTCACAGAGGCTGCACATATTTATCATAAGAATATCTAGATCATGTTTTGTTTTGGGTACGATTGGGCCATTTTGGACAGAGTTATGTCCCTGGACTTAGAAAAATTCCAATAATTTGCTGTTTCCGTTCATTTTCTGTGCAGAGGCTGCACATATTGAAATAACATTTGGTAAACAGATTTATCATAATAATATCTAGGTCAACTTCTGTTTTGTGTACGATCAACTCACTTTTGTCTAGTTATGCCCCCCTCGACTTAGAAAAATTCCAAATATCTGGGGGAGGGGGACAAAAGTGTTGTACATACATTTCTTGTTTTGTTTAACTTTACATCTGCTTCAGATTCTCTGAATGTTTTGATGATTCATAAAAAAAACAATTTCGAAACCATAAAATAAAACTTTAAAAAAAATGACACTGTAAAAGAAGAAAAAAGTATTGCTGTATATTTCGGGTAGCTTAATCTTCACACCATGATGGGAGTAAAACAGGTTAAAAGTTCGACACCTTTGAATGAAATGTATGGAGATAACGAACAGTATTAAAGCTCAAAGACCATTAAACAATACAAAATAGGAGCAGAGCAAACACGGACCTCCGAAACATTAGAGATGGGATCAGGTGCCATGGAGGAGTGAGCATCCCTTGCCGACCAGTCATACCCGCCTTGTGCTCTTTGTCATGATCGTGGAATAACAGGAAATCTGTCGTCAATTCAATGTGTAAATAATGGAAGTAATAAATCACGTATATACTCGGCAATTATGCCTATCAAGCAGTGAGGAATCTTTTTTATGCTAGCATCTACTGCGACACGCGACCTCATTTTATACGATCTCATTCGAAGGACGGGTCTCCACGTCCCACAGAGGGATTTGAACCTGCAACATAAGGATTAACTCCTTAAGCTGCAAGTCTAGAGCAGACACTCTAACCACTCCGCCATGCGGGCGATGGTGACCTTTGTTATCTATCTGTTTTCGGTTCAAAAGTGGAGCTTTGTTGAATATTAGTGAAAATGCGTTATTTTAAAAAAGCTTCACCTCTGATCCTGATATTATGCAAATTAATTTAATGCATAGTAAGGAATGGTGCCTCTTCAAAAATGGTGAATTTCATGCATGGCCCAAGAGGTTTAGATGTTAGGACGGGGTTCTGTTGATTATATGGTGAAAATAAATTAATCTTTTGAAAATCTTTTCCTCTGCTCTTGGGTATTAATCGATGAACAAGCTAGGTGCCTCTTCCTAAATGGTGAAATATATGGCCCTAGGTACAAGGGTACAGTAGGTGGGACTCTTTTGAACATGCATCAATTATTAGCAAATCTTCTTCCTTTGTATTAAGGATGAAGCATATTGAGATAACGAACAGTATTCAAGATAAAAAATCCATAAAACAATACAAAATAGGAGCAGAGCTAACACGAACCTCCAAAACATCTTGAACAAACTATATACTAGTAAGTGCATAGTACATAAGCAATGGTGCCTTTTAAAATATTTGAAATGTCTCCCCCAGGGTAAGGGCATCGTCGCAAACCACGGCCAAATTGTACGATCCTCTCCCATATGCGGACTCCGGACCTTGGCTTGAGACGATGTAGGAGAGAGCTATATGCGGACTCCGGACCGTGGCTTGAGACGATGGGGTAAGGGGTTCCTGTGTATTGGAGTCTCTGCTGATTATATAGTGAAAATGCATTATTTGATTATCCTCTGGCCTGCCCCTGGATATTGAATAAACAAACTAGTATATAGTTATAATGAGCAAATGTTCCTTTTCTTCAAAATTGTGTAATCCATGGCCTATGCATTATTTGATTATCCTCTGGCCTGCCCCTGGATATTGAATAAACAAACTAGTATATAGTTATAATGAGCAAATGTTCCTTTTCTTCAAAATTGTGTAATCCATGGCCTATGGTTTAAAATGAACCAATCAATGATAGCAGTTTTATATATGGGTAATATATAGTATACTCAGTTGAACTATATAAGGCCCTTGGGCCTCTTGTTCCGGAATGGAATCAATACTTTACCATACTCCTTCAGTTTTGGACTGATTTCAATATAACTTGACACACAAGTAAGGCAACACAAAGATACAGTACTCACTGTAATGATTTTCCATCTAAATTAAAAAAAAAGAAAAAAGATTGAAGTCCCCCTGTTACTTAGTAATCCCTAACATTTTCCTGTCTCTCCCTGAATTCTCCTAGGATTTCCTTTCGTTCTCCCATACAACCCTGTCTCCTGTCTACTCCCTGACTACCCTGTCTACTCTCTGACATCCCCTGACTTTGTCCCTGACTACCCTGTCTACTCCCCCTGACATCCCCTCACTTTGTTCTTGACTACCCTGTCTACTCCCCCTGACATCCCCTGACTTTGTCCCTGGCCACTCCGTCTTCTTCCTGACATGCCCTAACTCTGTCCCTGACTACCCTGTCTACACCCTGACATCCTCTGACTTTGTCCCTGACTACCCTGTCTACTCCCTGACATCCCCTAAGTTTGTCCCTGACTTCCCTGTCTACTCCCTGACATCCTCTGACTTTGTCCCTGACTACGCTGTCTACTCCCTGAATACCCTGACTTTGTCCCTAACGACCCTGTCTACTTCCTGACATCCTATGACTTTGTCCCTGACTACCCTGTCTACTCCCTGACATCCTATGACTTTGTCCCTGACTACCCTGTCTACTCCCTGACGTCCCCTGACTTTGTCCCTGATTACCCTGTCTACTCCCTGACATTCCTGGACCTTGTCGCTGACTATCCTGTCTACTCCCTGACATCCCCTGACTTTGTCCCTGACTACCCTGTCTACTCCCTGACATCCCCTGACTTTGTCCCTGACTACCCTGTCTACTCCCTGACGTCCCCTGACTTTGTTGCTGATTACCCTGTCTACTCCCTGACATCCCCTGACTTTGTCCCTGATTACCCTGTCTACTCCCTGACATCCCCTGACTTTGTCCCTGACTACCCTGTCTACTCTCTGACATCCCCTGACTTTGTCCCTGATTACCCTGTCTACTCCCTGATATTCCTGGACCTTGTCGCTGACTATGCTGTCTGCTCCCTGACATCCTCTGACTTTGTCCCTAATTGTCTTGTCTATCCCTGATGTCCCTGACTACCCCATCTACTCACTGACATCCTCTGACTTTGTTCCTGACTACCCTGTGTTCCTGATTACCCTGTCTTCGGCTCAACTAGGATATATGGATAAGTAGTACCAGTAAATAGATGCATTTTTATACGCCAAAATTGAATTAATGCGCGTTGCTTAGTAATGCTAGAGGAAATTGTAAAAGGAGGAAAGGTGCTCACAGTTAAATGCTTTTCTTAAAAATAAATTTACAATATTATTTGTTGTATGTCTCTATATTTATCAGCACTTAAAGACCTGCTACCCTGTGTTAATTTCATACCTTTCAATGGTCTCTCTCTTTCTCTCATCCTCGCTCAGTCCCTCTCTAAAACTTTCTTAAACCTTACTTATTTATTTTATTTTGCTTTTACCAGCAACCAATCCAGGTATTGATACAAAAAGATGACAAAGATTTCTTTTCATTTCTTGATTAGTATAAATAAATAAAATAGAATTGGCTTATAAAAACAAACATTCATTTAATTAAGTAGAGTAATGAAAATTACGGTAAATACATGTGTACTAGTAATATTAATATATCTGAAGAAAAAAAAAATAAACAACAGCCAAAAAAAAATTTAAAGAAGATAGATAGATAAATAAATAAATGTACTAGTTATTTACTTAATGAATGAATTAATAGATACGTAAATATAGACAATTATTAACTTGTTTAAATAATTAAAAACCAAAATAATATCATTTAAGAAAGGTATTGAAATAAATAAAGAATGAAGAATAGGGAGATAACGAGCAGTATTTAATATTAAAGTCCATAAAAAAATACAAAACAGGAGCAGAGCAAACACGGACCTCAGGGGTGGGATCTGGTGCCATGGATGAGAGAGCATCCCCTGTTGACCGGTCACGCCATCCGTGTGCTCCTTGTCATGATCGGGAAATAACGGAAAATCCGTCGTCTATTCAGTGTATAAATAATGGACTAACAAGTAAGGTAGGATATTGGCGGGTGTGACCGGTAGGCAGGAGTTGTTCACTTCTCCATGATACCTGATCCCGCCTCTTTTGTTTTGGTGGTCCGTGTTTGCTCTTTTCCTATTTTTAATTGTTTTATGGATTATTGATCTTGAAAATTGTTCATTATCTCCATATGCATATTAATTAGAACTTTTTCCAGAAACTGGATTAAAGAGAACAAGTACACTTTAATCCTTTCACCTTGTATTAAGAGAACAAGTACTCTTTAAAAAACAAACTCTATTTTTTATCAATTTAGTTTCGGACCAAATGCAAAGTTTTTGTTAAATTCTTTGTGAAAATGGATGAACCTTTTTTTTTTTTTGGTAAATTACATCTAGAATTTCAACTTCACAGTAAAAACGAAAAATAAATAGCCAAACATATATGTGATTCCATATCAAGCCCAACAAAGCTGGGTATTTGGTATAAATACATAATCTATGATGAATGACATGAAATATTTTAATCGCTAGAATACATTTTATGTACACAAAATACATTACAGATTAGCCAGGTAAAAGAACACTGCAAAATGTTATATAGATAATAGAATATAGAAAAGGCAATAAATCGTGTCAGCGTTACAGTGTCGTACCTTCTATTTACCGATGAACCTTCCAACAGCATGGTTCTTTTGATATATTTGTTTGCTCTCCAAGGGTAAATATGGACATGCAGATACCTCGATATTAAAGACTACTGGGCAACCTTAGAGATTAAGCCCATACATCTACAGGTTTGGTTCTTCAGTACTTCTTTACATTCTGCGGGGGCAGATTGCAGACACTTTAAGACATGCACAATAGAAGCTCGGGGGAAAAGAAACATAATATCTCGAAGTCACGGCTTAAAGATTTGGATTTCTTACCATTATGCATGACTATCTTCCATTATGGAACAAAAGTCCCATCTTTGTGAGGAACTTCTGAAATCGGTCAGAATCGGGTGTCTGGCGGCACAGAATATGATACAGAACTAAGTCACGACTCGTGCTTGATTGACAAAGTGCATTGTGTAGTTATTTCCTGGGCTGCTTTGCATAGAAGGTAGACACTCCGATATTTAAACAATTTTTAATTTGTGTTTTGACGGTATGTGAAATTATCCAGAAAACTAAAAGGATGGTCTTATATGTTATGTTTGGATTTACTCTTCTTATCCAAGGTATGTATCTAGTATTTAGTTCTTAGATGATGCTGGTAAGTTTGAAAGTAAATGTCTGTATCCTTTTAATTTCAAAAGATACATAAGATTATCATAACCCCCACTTGAAAAGGGGGTATACTGTAATCGGTATGTCCGTCCGTCCGTCCGTCTGTCTGTCTGTTACGCTTTGGGGTACCCATCTCTTATCCCCAACTCCTCTTATACCACTCAGTGAAATTTAATGAAACTTTCACAGAATCTTTATGCAATATTGCCATTGTGCACCTCCTATTTTACTTTTTGATCCGACACATATTTTGGGTTTCCCGGCCACAGCAAAACATGGACTTTGCCATTATAACCATAGGAGGCGGGGGTGAGCTCATTGCTCACAGTACCTCTAGTTTCCGTATAGAAATGTGTAATATTAATTTAAGAAATTCTTAAAAATATAAACAGGTAATTAACTAAATGATGCACACGCCAACCCTGTCCCAACATTGCAACGAAAGTATAAAAACAACAGTAACATGGAATGCTTGTTTACATAATTAAACATAATTTATTGATAATAAGACGAGTACCATCTGATGGTGTACAATATCATTTTAAAGTTTCACTTCAAGATAATTTTGCACACTTTGTACAACCTTTTTTAATATGAAATAGTACTGCAAGAAAATTTGTAAAATATGTATTTGCAATTAGTATGAAAATGTTGTAGTTTAAAGCCCTGCTATCTCCCTCACTAAATAATTCGTTTTTAAAAACATCAACACATTCCCTCTATTTTTCAAAACCAGTTTAAAAAGATATAGATATTATCACTTTGACCTGAATTGAATTAGTTTTTTGTCAGTTATTCAACACATTTTCTACCACAATATCTTTCTGTCACGCTCGTTCGAATTTCATTTCATGATGTTTAACAATCAGGTATTAACGACCTCAAACACTAACCAAAATCTTCAGTATCGTTGAAGAGAAATATTTGTATCATCAGATATAGAATGAAGACATTCACCATTGCAGCGAACATTTGTTATGTTTCATGGAACTTTAAACGTTATTACAGGTGCATCGTCACATTTCATAAATGAAATAAACATGCTCAACTTTTAAAAATGAAAAAAAATATTACAATTATCACCACACACTTTGATTGTACAGAAAATAAATTCATACATTCCAAAAGTGAAAAAAAGCATATGACCAATAAACTTATATACTTTAAAAAAAACTATATCGTTAAAAGCTAAACGTATCGAAAAATATATAAACTTAGAAATTATTATAAAATATACCCAACTAACATGAGTAAATTATACAATTTTCACAGAATTTATATTTCATCAGCTTTCAGGTGAAAAATGATATAAATTATACATTCAACCTTTTCTCTAGTTGTGAATGCTAAATATTACTGTGAGAAGGCTTGGCAGACGAACCAGAACAATGGCCTGTGTTACAAGTTGTTCCCAGAGAGCCAGACTTGGAAGCAAGCAAGACAAACCTGTACAAACCACGGCAGCTTTCTGGTATCTGTCACCAACGAAAAAGAACAAAACTTCATCGTGGAAGGTAAATTTTCAACCCTATCTATCAACTCAAATTCTGTAAACTGTTTAAATTCTGGGTTTTTTTAAAAAAAAATTATTTTGTGTCTGTTGTAGATGTTCTGATGAGTAACCATAACTGGTCTGTGTGGTCCGGAGGTCACTCGCTGTATTACAATGGCTGGTACTGGGATAACTATAGGAGGAACTTCAACTTCACACGCTGGGCGACCGGTAAGTCTCCAATGAAAAAAAAATTACTAGTACACTGTAGTTGAAACATATAACACATGTGAAATGATTCAAACTGAGGTAAAATTAAATACATGTAATCAGTTTACTCTTAATATACAGGCAGACCCGTCTCGCCACCAAGGTGTATAGCTATGGTTGGAGTAGCTGGATTTAACTGGTCAGACCAGCCCTGTGTAGAAGTCCGTCCCTTTATTTGTGAAAAACCAGGTACATAATTCAACTTTGCTTAATTCGTTAAAATGAATCTCATATTAGTTTGTTTTATCTTACTTTAGATCGCACATAAATGGATAATTGCATACACACTTTTAAGTATGAGAGCATTAGTTTACACTATTACAGGCAAAGTCAACAATCATACCAAACTTAACTTTATCATTACATAGCATTCAACACAATTTAATACTTTATAATCATATGATGACTTTTACTTTTTAATCGTCAACTTCCTTCACTCATGTAGCAATATACCCTTATCACCTGCACGTGGGATTTTATCTTTCAGTTGAATCGTTATGCAACAGCATGTTCATATACGAGCAACTCTTGCAAAAGTTTTTGACAAACATTTTGATGAAGGATATGGAGATAACGAACAGTATTCAGTCTCAAAGTCTATAAAACAAAATAAGAGCAGAGCAAACACGGACCTTCGAAACATCAGAGGTGGGATCAGGTGTCATGGAGGAGTGAGCATCCCCATGCTGACCGTCACACCCGCCGTGTAACAAGAATATCAGCAGTCTTATTAAAAGTCATCATTTCGAAAGTTCTATGGTCGATACAATGACCTTGTCAGCAAATAGAACTATAAATCTATGTCAATAGATATTCAAATTATTTCCCGATCATGACAAGGAATGCAGGGCAAGTGTGACTGTTGAATAGGGGATGCTCACTCCTTCATGACACCTGATCCTACCTCTGAGGTTTTGAAGGCCTGTGGTTGCTCTGCTCCACATTTGTATTGTTTTGTATTGTTTGAATTGACTTTTGGGCTTGAATACTGTCCGTTAAAGTATATCTTCATAATTTATTCAGTATACTCATTATTATAAGATGGTTGTTGGAGTTAATTATAAGAATAATGTTTCTCATATATAATGTGAAGGACTACAAATTTTTATTAAACACTAAACTTATCGATCGATCAATTGATCGACAGCTCTAATCCCTCATGTCTTAGAAGTTACCAAAAAACAAGCTCGTGAAATAAAGAAAAAAAATACTACAACACTTTAAATATACATGTATATAAAAGAAAACGTTTTACAGAGAATGTACATCCTTTACTTGTTTTATAGCACATTCCCTAAATTGTGACGGCAAAGTAAATGTTGTCCAGCTGGAACCAAACACACTAACCAATGTCAATTTCCCCCCATTTTATGATCCCCATCAGCCATTCCAATTTCCTCCCTATGAAAAGTGAGTGCAAGCTTGAAGTATAATACAGCATTGAAATATCTTTATGAAATAAGTTCTGAATCTCTGTGTTTTATCACACCAATATATGTTGTAGAAGTCTAACGTGTGTTTGGAACATAGTCCCACCTCATGGTTACCGGATTGTCACGGAATTTGATTTGTTTTGTAATGATGATCTGAAGGCATATCAAGGTAGGCTTCAGAAGGTAGTTCTTTAAAAATACGAATAAGGAGGATATTATTGCTCATTTTACCTGAATTGTTGCTTACATATATTTTAAGGAGGATCTTCCCTGGATGGAGTAACATGTCAGGTGCGTTCAGGGAATTTTGTGGCTGACTCAACAATAACTTTATCATTCACAACAAATATCTTCACCAGACCACGTAGCGAACTGGGATTTCAGTTCAGAGTTTTTGCAACCAACACTAAAGGTAAATAAAGACCATAATCATTCTGCAGCCTTCCTCAATGCCTACGTTCAAGCATTTAAAAAAAAAAACGAGTTTAAATTAAATGGGCATTGGGCTAAGGCTAAGCTTCAATTGTTAAATGCTGTTTGAAAAACCTATCCTGAGTACGTTTTCTTGCATTTACCGTAACTGTACGATGATGTTTTACTTTTACAAATAGAGAGTACATGTGATCCAGCAGGAGTTCCGTTAGTTGCTTCACCTCAGGAACAATTCATAACTTCTCCAGGATTCCCACTTCAGAAGTAAGCAGAAAATCCTCTTTTTCTATCAGGATATCCAAATATTAAACAGATGTGACAGTCTCTTTACATTGAAAAACACATTGTGTCGACAAAGCTCTTGCTGTTCATTACTGTTTAAATGCAGACTGTCTTATATAAGCGTAAACATGAATTCGAAACGTTGCAATTTGATTTTTTTTTATCTTGATCTCATACTGTACACTAATTGTTTTTAGATCATCTTCCTGTGTTTGGACTATAATATCCCCTGTGAAGGGATCCAGTATCTACATACAGTTTAGGTATCGCTATATCATTGATGGAGCGGCACTTAGAATCCAAGATGATGGCAAGTTTCTACCAAAATTTGAATCCATATCTTTAGACTAGGGATTTCCATTAATTTCTGTTCTTGACTGCCCTCTCCACCTCTCTCCATGTTAGATTCAGTAAATTTACGTATTTTTCCTCAGTTCCTTTCGCTCAACAATGCCTAAATCTTGAGACCAATAACATTCAGTCTCCGACTTTCTATGGTATTAAACAAAAGTATAAAGTTTTTTTTTATCAATAAACTTCTATTAAAATTTTGAAACACATACACTATATAACAATTAACTTAATACTTTCCCGTGGTTCATAAACAAAAAAGCACTGAAAAGAAGATAAGTCAAATCTAATTATTTTTTATTCATTGTTTCAGTGTTTGCGGGATCTTCTATGTTAGAAGATTCTAGGATTTTAGTTTACCGCGAAGAAAAGATTGTCCTGAATTACACCAGTCCCGGCACATACTCCGGGCACCACGGCTTCTCACTGGTCTTTTTTACAGGTATTCTATCAAATTTCTAATAAAGTAGAATACATAGTTGGTAATGCATTTGTATTCATTTTTGTTTTTGTGAGAGCACTGGAATTGTTAGTTGCTTTATCATTGTAGACAATAAAACCATGGAGGTCTGCACCCAAAAGGATGTCGAAAGAAACCTGACTGAATATGGAATTCTAATCCCAGAAGAACAATTTCTGATTTTTTCAGTGAAAGCTTCAAAACACATTCATATAGAACTGCACTCTACAGGCGGGCATAACTATGTATTAACATTTTATCAAGACCCTCCGGAATTTTTAGGAACTTATGCATGTTTGAATACCACTTTCATAGATAAATGTCTTGAAATCTACACAAGTAAAGTTTTAGACAGTGGAAATTTTGTGGATTTTTGGGTGTCGTGGTCGGATACTTTAAAGGTCGGTCGCGGAAGAATACAGGGAAATGACATCATAATGGACTACAGAATTTATAATCCAATGAGAGGTGATTTTGCATCAATTCGAACTATCGATGGAACTGGCACTTGGAAATTTTACGGATCAACAGTAATCAACGGTAATTTTTTAACATATCATTTTATGAAACAAAGGAGTTAAACACCATCTGATCATTTTATCTGATTCATTCGTATGCATAACTTATACGTGAACATTTAAACTGGAACTGGATTACATATGAAGTAAAAAAATAATTAACGTTTGAATTTTAATGAATTCATTTTTTATTCAGGTTTTATTTCAAAAATGCACCTTTTTCTTTTTAATATCAATAATATTTGAAATCTTCATTGATTTGGAATAGAAATCACTGAATAGGAACTCAGTTAAGGATTTTAAAGTTTTTTTTTTACATTTTCAAAAGATTTTGTGGAGATCTGCCATGAATCAGGAACTGCCCTTGAGAGACTGTGGGATTACAACTTACCAGTCCCAGGAAACAACTTCATAACCTTCTCTGTCGTGATGTGTAAGAATGCGATGATAAGGTTCAAAGAAACGAATGGGTCATACATGCGACTCTGGCTGAATGCTCGTTCAGCAAAAGGAGATGGCTACATTTCTTGCATCACACACGACATATTGTATAATAACACCTACAGCTGTTTTTCTGATGCACACACAGGAAGTGTTTTAAACTGTAGTGGATTTCGTGATTTTTGGATAACTTGGGGCAAAAATACAAATCTTAGAGTTGGGAAGGGTAAAATTATTGGGAATAATACCATGATCAGCAGATCAACTAACTTTACTCCAGTTGATAATTCACTCTCGTTCGGAAGTGAGTCCCGTGATAATACTTATATTTTCTCTGTATGGCGATTTGACAGGCCACCTACAATAATAGGTAAGGTTATAGTATGAAGACACCATATACCCTAGATCGATTTAACACATAGTTGATTTCGTTAATTGTATACGTATATCAATCTTATAACGTAGATTTTATTGTTTCCCTTGAATTTTTTTCAAATTTCAACATACTCTGTATTTCTTTTCACTCCCTTGATATAGTTTTTGCTTATAGCAAAAATAACAAAAGAACAAAAAAAATCCACTTATTGCTAGTGAATCTACGTCCCTTGAAATAGTAAAAAAAAATCATGGTCCACGGGAAGTCCATGAAACGATCACCCATTTCATTATGAACAAGATTGTTTTATCCATCATACTTTTAATTAAGACATAAAAGTGAATTTAATGATAACCATGATAGTAACAGTAAGATTTCGTGAAATGAATTGATTCAGAGTTGTATAATACCTCAAAATCTCTTCCACTCTCTTCTTATCCTTATTTTAACAAAAATATCTTACGATTTACTTGTCATGACCAATTACCATCTCAATGAAGTTGGTACACCGTCTTCTTATCCATTTTATTTCTTTTTCGGTCAAACAAAACAGAAAACATCAATATAACTCAAAGTGATGTTGCTCCTTCGCCGGTTGGTGTTGAAGGCACAACCCTTACCATGTCTGTGGATGTTAACGTCAGATTTGGATTTGAAGTGAAATGGTTTAGAGACGGAACTTACGTCACACAATCTCCAAGGAGATTCTCTATCCGTCAAACGCTTTTAGAAGTGATGAAGTGTTCTCTTACAATTGTCGAACTCAAACTTAGAGATGAAGGTACCGGTTGAGTTTATCATTATAATAAATTATTTAGATGTCTTGTTGCCATTTTTGTTTTATTGAATAAAAATCATATAACAAATTGATGAAAGAGGCATATTTGTATAATGAACAAGTATTTTAAGCTTAAAAATGATACCCTGAAAATACCACTAATACAGGTAGATATAATACACACTAGGAAATGGCTTTTGGCTCTTGTTTTCCAGCTAACTGGACGGTGATTGTCTCAAATCAACACTCAGAAGCCATAGCAAGTTTTGATATAAAGGGTAAGCATAAGTTCTCATGTCTTACCTTGTCGAAGAATTAAGCATTAACACATTGACCATTTTCAAAGGATTCATTTAAACTTACACACATTTTTACTTACAGTGAAACCTGGAATAAAACTGGAAATCTCTCCACATTACAGACTGGCTATTCTAAGAGGAAGTACACTAGATCTAGTCTGCAACATAACAAACATACAGGATTTACAGGGGCTTCCGATCGACATTTCTCTTCTGACGTGGTACAAGAACGGAGTTATATTAATGCAAGGTAAAACCAAGAGATCGAGTTTGTTATAAATTAAAAAGAAATATAATGGTTCAACTTGTGTTTACTTTATATATGCCATAGTTATTTGCATTTGTAAAGTCCTTACAAGATTTTTTTCACTCATGTTGAGATGCAACCATTTGCCATAGGAGGGCTGTAAATCTACACCTAAACTCGGCACTTGCGGCCTTTTAGCAATAAAGGATCTTTTTCGTGCCTGCGCCCGCATGGCGCATTGGGTAGAGCGTCTGCTCTAGAGTCGCGAAGTAAGGAGTTGATCATTACGTCGCGGGTTCAAATCCTACTGCGCGACGTGGAGAAAGGTCCTTCGGATGAGATCGTTGACAAACAAGTTGATGAAACAAGAATTTCAGCTGTCTCGTTTAAAGTCATCATTTCGTAAGTTCTGTGGCCGATACAATGACCTTTTCAGCAAATATAATTTATCATTGAGTCAAATGCTGACTCACGTTTTTCATACTGATTGTTAGTCCATTATTTATACACTGAATTGACGACGGATTTTTCCGTTATTTCCCGAACATGACAAGGAGCACACGGCGGGTGACTGGTTGGCAGAGGATGCTCACACCTTCATGGCACCTGACCCCACCTCTGATGTTTTGGAGGTCCGTGTTTGCTCTGCTCCTATTTTGTGTTGTTTTATGGACCTTTGATCTTGAATACTCTACCTTATCTCCATATGTTTCATCGTATAAACCGAGGTCCCGTTTCGCAGTAGGAGCTGGCACGAAAAAGATCCCTCACTGCTCAATGGCCCTGAGTGTCGAGAATAGGATAAAATTTGTAGCTCTCCACCGGCGAGTGGTGGCGTCTTCATAATAGTGAAAAATTCTCCAGAAGGACTTTAAACAACATACAATCAATATATTAGTCTTTTTCGTGTCACCACCTACTGCGACATGAAACTTAGATTAATACGGTCTCATTAACTACAGTAATAATTATTCCTCTAACCACTCCGTCAAGCGGGCGACTTTTTCTATATTAAACCGGATGATATTTTTACCAAGAATGAGACAAGACGAACCTCGCTTCCCCATCTAATACTTGGCCGTTATCTCGAATTATCACATTTAGCTTCTCTATGACAATGAATAAATTGCTGCTCCAGTATGATTTTGTTCATAAACGATTGAATGTTGAATTTCTTGTCAACGTTTCCAAGTCTAATTAAAATTTTACAGAAAATATCGTAGAATTTTGACAATTTATATCACAAACGTTATCACCGATCATAACTTCTGTATTATTCTTTATTTAAAGACAAATCAAAAATTATCATCACGACGAGCGGGTCCTCGAGTCTCCTCCGGATTCTGTCTGTTGATGTCAGCGACCAAGGCACATACTCCTGTAACCATGAAATATACCGCGTATCCATGGTAATTAACACAACCGTGGATGTTTATAACAAGGGTAAGGAGGACATTTGTAACCGAATTCTTTTGTCCCTGATCAGAGGGTTGGGAGTGCTGGTTAATTTTATTGTAATGTCTTCCAGGTGCAACGATATGTCCCTCATCTAAGGATATTTATGGCGTTGTATGGCCCACTGTAACTCCTGGATCCCTCGCTCACTCTGATTGTCCTAAGGGTCAAGAAGGTACATGTTAGGAAAGTTCATTTAATTATTTTTAGAGAAGGTAATAACTATTTATGTGCAGAGAAAGCTAATGAAAAAGGAAAAATTCGTTTTAGTAGTTTTTAAAGAAGGTAAAACTTTCATTTACAAGGCAAATACTTCAAACACTGAACCTAAAGATGCATAAATAGTGTAATAAAAGATGATAATTAACTTTCTATTGACCTTTAGCCGTATTTGACCACTACAATTAACCTTTTTATATTTATTCTCTGATATTTTTTTAGGGAATGCCAGCAGATTTTGTGATTATAACGGAAACTGGAAGAAAACGAGCGTGTCGTACTGTGTTGATGAAGATTTTTCAAGTACTTTGAACGAGGTTGATTTCTTATTTCTCTCTTAATTACCAGTAATCATTGAAGTGCAAAATTTACCAAAAAGTAAAACCTGTACATGTACCTAATTGTTTCAGAACCGAAGAAATTTATGTGACATTTCATGTGACGATCTACGACAAAACTATGCAAACAACAACATTTCATGTAATTTTTTCACCAACATCAGTTATTAGACGTCGGTGTCATCTCGGTTTGAATTTGAGTATAACTGGTTTATTTCAGCTCCAAGTTCTAGAAGACGATGGAGTATTAGATAAAAAGTATATTGAACAAACCTTTGAAAGTTCCCTTAGTAAGGTGGAAAACCTTACCGCCTCCAGGACTGAGATTTCCTCAGCCAATCTACTGTCGTCCATTAATATCATTAATACAGTTCTCAGAGTAGCAACACAAAGCAACGCTTCTGTTCCACAAACAGTAAGCAAAGATGTCTTAATCCTTAGGTGAAAAAAAACAAGACAATTACAATTGTATGATAATACTCCAGTTAGTGAGAGCGGTCCTAATAAATCTGTTCTTTTTTCTTAATATAATAGAACGTATACAGCATTGTCGACCACGTTGCTTCTGTGGACAATAGAGGATCTTGGAAGCTAGTTGATGAGGAGGTATGTCTTAATTTAGCAGAGTTATAAAACTTATCTCACCCATTTTATTGATTCTTTCTTTTCATCCTAAAAGACTTACGTCAGTGGCATGGACATAAAGGTTAACAATGGCAATCATTCCTTTAACATAGCAAAAATATCGCTGCCCTTTTCGTTGCAATTTTCTTGTGGTTCTTATGATGGATAAAAGTCAAGTTTGATTTTCAAATCTGATTTTTTAGTTTAAAGAGAATTTTGAAAGAAAAAAAACGTGAAAATGAACATACTTCTTTTAAGCTTTGCAAAAGTTGGACCGAATTTTGCATTGACTGATTCACAAATCAAATCTGTTTTTCTTTCTTTCTTTAAGAATTTTATATTGTATTTGAAATATATGAAATAAATGATTTAGTCCCGAATTTTCACTGAATATCATATTTCATAGACACACGTCATATTTCATAGACACATATTGGGTCGGCGTCAGTTTTGGAAACAATGGATAGGGCCAACTCTCTGATGATGAAAGAATTGAAATCAGAAGAATTTAGAGGAGAAAATGTCGGTATGTGAAATATTTCTGAATTTTCTTTCAACAATCTATTGGTTTTCCCTTGGGTACCAATTGCGCCCAGTTATAAGCAGACCTATTTTTTTATTCATATGAAGCAGAATTTGTCCAAGATCTTGTACGTGAAAAGAGGAAAACACTTGCTATGGCCTTTAACTCGACATTTAGATATATCGACGACGTATTGTCAATTAACAATGGTATTTTCCATTCCTATGTCGATACGATATATCCTGGTGAGCTTGAGATAAAAGATACCAGAGAGTCTGACACATCTGTTTCATATTTAGATATTTTACTTAAAAAGACATTAATGGTAATCTTACAACCAAGCTCTATGATAAACGTGATGACTAATTTTACAATCATCAACTTCCCTTACTTATGCAGCAATACACATTCCTCACCAGCATACAGAGTATATATATCTCAGTTGATTCGATACTCAAGAGCATGCTCTATGTACAATTTCTAAAACGAGGTAAATTATTGACAAACAAGTTGATGAAACAAGAATATCAGCAATTTCGTTTAAAGTCATCATTTCGTAAGTTCTATGGTGGATACAATGACCTTGTCCGCAAATACAGTTTGTCACTGAGTCAAATGCTGACTGACGTTTTTTATATTTATTGTCAGTCCATTATTTATACACTGAATTGACGACGAATTTTCCGTTATTTCCCGATCATGACAAGGAGCACACAGTGGATGTGACCGGTCGGCAGGGGATGCTCACTTCTCCATGGTACCTGGTCCCACCTCTGTTGTTTTGCTCTGCTCCCATTTTTTTGTTTGACATGACATGGACCTTTTACGTTACATTAATTGTAAGGTTTGTAAAGGTATGCATACTGTAAAAAAAAACGTACAAAAATAATTATCCATAATTTTCCTCCTTCATTACTATACGCCCTGAGTGATTAAACCATTTTAAAACCATGAATGTTTTTATACAGTGGTGAACATTAGCGAGATTTCGCTTCAAGACGCAGAACTCCGGTTTCTGGAGAACGAATCCTTCATCGTGCTTCCAAAGCAAGAGGGGCAACAACAAGGTATATTAAAAATAATAGTTTGATTGCAGTTTTTGTGGTGTCTTTAATCTTTAGGAATACAAAGAAAACAGTCTCATAATAGTTCTCCGAAACAACTATTTTTTGTCATATTTTACAGTTATCCATATTAGGAGTAGCTTAAATTGTTGAACAGGAAATCACTCTTTGATGTAGGGTTACTTGAACACAATATATAGTAATAGATCAATAGAACATTCAGCAAAGCAGAAGAATACAGTTGTATACTCAGTATGTATTTTATAAAACAAAATTTTATTCAACTATTGTTTGACTTTCAGTTACAAAATACTCCGCCGTTCTGTACAAAACGATGTCTCAATTTTTACCATCTGAAACCAACAGTTCTGGGTATGTTTCTGTACAATATATGATTACTAATTTACACTATATATTTTTTTAATTCTGATATTTATTTCCTTTAACAAAATGCCTTTAAAAGTTATTACAATTTTAGATTTTTTTCTCCATATTTATAGAAACTTATTAGGTCACCTGAGTAAACTCAGGTGACCTATTGCTATCTGTTTTCGTCCGTCGTCGTGCGTCGTGCGTTGTGCGTTAACATGTGAACATTTTCAGCTTCTTCTCTGCAACTACTGAACCAATTTCAACCAAATTTGGCATAAAGCATCTATGGGTGAAGGGGAACGAAAATTATGAATTTCATGATCCCTGCCCCCCGGGGCCTGTGGGGTGGGGCCAGAACCACTAAAATTAGTGCAGTCTTTAAAAATTTTCTTCTTTACTCCTGGACATCAAGCAGTCAAACTGTTTGCATGATTGTAATCAGCAATGAGTCCTCTACCAAAATTGTGAAATTCATGGCCCCAGGGTCAGGGGTTCTAGTGCTAGGGCGGGGCTAAATAAGTAGGTAGTGAAAATGCATTATTTCTTTGAAAATCTTCTTCTCTGCTCCTGGGTATTAAATAAACCAACTAAGTACATAGTTAAGATAAGCAAGAGTGCCTCTACCAAAATTGTGAATTTTATGGCCCCAGGGTCAGGGGTTCTGGTGTTAGGGCGGGTCTCTATTGATTATATAGTGAAAATACATGAATTCTTTGAAAATCTTCTTCTCTGCTCCTGGGTATTAAATAAACTAACTAAGTACATAGTTATGATGAGCAAGAGTGCCTCTACCAAAATTGTGAATTTTATGACCCCAGGGTCAGGGGTTTTGTTAGGGTGGGGCTCTATTGATTATATAGTGAAAATACATGAATTCTTTGAAAATCTTCTTCTCTGCTCCTGGGTATTAAATAAACTAACTAAGTACATAGTTAAGATGAGCAAGAGTGCCTCTACCAAAATTGTGAATTTTATGGCCCCAGGGTCAGGGGTTCTGGTGTTAGGGTGGGACTGTATTGATTATATAGTGAAAATACATGAATTCTTTGAAAATCTTCTCCTCTGCTCCTAGGAAATAAATAAACTAACTAAGTATATAGTTATGATGAGCAAGAATGCCTATTCCATAATTGTGAATTTTATAGCCCCAGGGTCAGGGGTTCTGGTGTTAGGGCGCGGGTCTATTGATTATATAGTGAAAATACATTAAATCTTTGAAAATTTTCTTCTCTGCTCCAGGGTATTAAGCAGATGCACTACCAATATAGTTATGATGGACAAGGGCCCATATCTTCCACAATTGTGAATTTCAAGGCCCCGGGGTCAGGGGTACCATAGAGGGGTGGGGGGTGGGGGGGGGGTTGTATTATATACTGAAAATGAATGAATGGTTTGAAATCTGCTCCTTGGTATTAATCAAATATCAAAGCCTAAGGGTCAGGGGTTCATGTATGGTAGGGGCACTACTGATTATTGCTGAAAATTACTGATTAGTTGAAATGCATTTTGTGTTCCCTTACCCTGCGTATGGGTATATGTAAACAAACTAAGCAACTGCTAAGTGTATTGTTATGATGATCAATGAGGCCTCTTTCAAAATTGTGAATGCCATAGCATCTGGCTTAAAACATGAATCAAATTCAATCACTGGAAAGTTGTTGCATAATGCTCAGGTGACCTATAAGGCCCATGGGCCTCTTGTTATGAGAATTTTGCATTGGTTATTAGGGTGAAAAAAACCCTTTAAAACAGAAAGAATACAACTTAAGATTTTTAATTTGACCTAGCTCAGGGACCGATCGAGTTATCAACTCTGTGGTGATGTCGCTAACATTGGAGCAACCTTCCAGAGATCTGTCACCTCCACTAGTCCTGACATTCCAACACAACAAAGGAGTAAGTAACTTGTTACCAAAGAAAAAACATATAAACTTCCTCACACATTGTTAGTCCTATGGAAAGGGAAGGAAAAAGAGTTTACAGGATATGTAGACAATTTACTCGAAAATGTTTATTGTGTTCATGTAACATAACCAATACTTGTTTTCAAGTTAAATCACCGGTAACTTTTGGAATAGTTCGTAGTCTAAAATTTTAGAATACTTCATAATATTATTATAATAGAGGTAAATATTTATATGAAGAAAGTATTGAAAATGTCTATCCTGTACGTAGAATGTTCCAACTGGTAGAACTTAGTTAAAATAGAATTTAGTCGGATGCAACGAGACAGTCAAACTCCGGTTCGACAGTTTTGATGTTAAAAGTGTTTTACAATGACAGATTATTAGTGGAAACCAACTTGATATGCTTAAAGAGTTTGACATTTTAAAAAGTATAATTTATTATAAGTTATGCATTTTTGTTTTAATTCTGAAGAGGACAAAGAAAAGTCCATAAAAGGGAGTGAACATTCCCTTTTGAAGACAAAAATATTTTCGATGAATCTATAATAAAATAATTTGTTATAAATAATTGTTGGAAAGTCTAAATAAAGAAATCGAATATCATTATGATTGTACTTACAAAGTAATAGGGGATTTAAACTGTATAATTACTTTTGATTGTTCTAGGTACGAGTAGTAGAAGGAGAAGCAGATTGTGTGTTCTGGGATTACACATTATTGTACGTCACTATAAACTCTCAATTATTAACAGAATTTCTGAACTTTCTTAAACAGACACAGAGATTTCCTGTCAATTGTTAAATAACATTGAAGAATAAGTATTTTTAATAGTGACAATGCTGGGGGATGGTCAACAGAGGGATGCTCTATGAATTCCACAAAGAATGGTGTGTCTGTCTGTCTGTGTAACCACACTACAAACTTTGCCGTTCTCATGAGACCTTATACACCGGTACATTTACCTGCGTTTTATTATTCAAATTTGTCTTTGTTTTAGTATTCATGAGCTATGGTCATGCACATGGATTGTAAAAGTAGAGTTTTATATATACAACATCGTAATAAAGTACTGATTATACGAATAAATACCGTCTCACTTAGGGACAATTCCAGCATCGTTTTTTATCAATATTAAACTCAGATATAAATGCATTACTTTTTTTTTAACTGCTTACTTGCACGAAAATCTTCAAATAATTTCAGGAAAAAGAAGACTCTGTGCTTGTCATTATATCCATTGTTGGTTGTGTTATCTCCATGTTGTTTGGTGTACTGACGATAGCTGTGTATGTTATTGTCTGGAAGTAAGATTTGATATTCAAATTGCATTTAATTCGCCTACTCCTTAGTCACTAAATGAGAATTAACATAATTAAAACTTATTATTTCAAGTGTTGTACTGTATGTTCATTTTTTTGCGTAGGCTGTCTTATAAAGTGTGTGTTCAGGGTTGTGTTAAAGATTTGAAAATTTACAATAATAATAGTAATTTTTGAAGAATATTGTTTCAAATGTCTAAATAAGTGGACTTCAAAGAATTTACGATTATCAAATATTTAGAGCAAATCTTTGTGTATTTTTATTGTAAGAATGGATGGAAGTTTGTGCCACCAATTTTTAATGATCATTTCGTTCTAAATTTTTTTTTTCAGGCAAATAAAAAGTGATCAGAATGTTCTTATAATATGTTTGTGTGTCTCTCTCTTCCTGGCCTACCTGATACTGCTAGCTGGTGTGGATAACGCTCAGAATGAGGTACCTTCCTTAAAATAATCAAAAGAGTTAATGAACATTTCTATAATTATAGAGGAATAGGTTAGTGTGTGTTTATTATAATGATATTAGGACATAACATTGAATCGGTTAATTACCCAATATGCATGTTCCTGTTAAACCAAACCGATACCATAAAACAGATATCATATAAATCCTTAACATTTTCATCCCCTTTGTACTTTCCTTGAGTTTTTGACTGTTTTTTTTTTTGTTTTATTTTGTAGGCAGCATGTGTGGTAGTTACGTTTTTCCTTCACTTTTTCCTTCTACTAACCTTCTTCATGATGTTTGGAGTCGGAATGTTCTTTTTTATGAACGTCACTGTGTTATTTTATGCAATGGGCATCACAAACAAATTTAATTCAAGATCTAGACTAAAGTGGATTCTTGGTTTAGCCACATGTAAGACTTGCTCTGCCATCGCATTGTGATTTTAATTATAATAGTTTGACAAGCAGTAATACTGTAAATTTTCTTGTAAAAAATATATTTCAGGTATCCCTCTTGTTATCGCTCTCATTACACTGGGAAGTTGCTGGGAGACACAGTATCATGCAGATGCATTGTAAATATCTTTTCACAAAATTAAAGCCAATTTCACCCAAACATCTTTACAAAAATAATTATTATTTCAGACAAAAAATTTTTAAAAACTTTATAGAACAGCTTGGGATACTGAACCATTTCATGTCTTCATTTATATCAAACATATGCAAAGATATTAAGAAATTTACGCTTCTTAGATATATACTTTACATTAATTCAACAGATAAAGATTAAACATTGTTTTGATATTTACAGTTGCTGGTTGTCTGTGTCCTCGGGGGCTATCTATGCCTTCATTGTTCCTGTTATTTTGATATTCCTGGTATGTTTGAGCAATATTCCGTAATACTATTTTTTTAATATGTACACGTTATCGCGGTGCATAATTATCTGCACTTCATAATAAATTATATAACTTTTTGATATGTTTCAGCTAAATGTTTGTATAATTGTCTCATTGCTACGCGTGATGTTTTTGACAACGAAAATGAAGAAAGCTGAGTTTAAAGAAAAGGCCAGGTATTTCTGAATATCATTTCCGTCATCCTAATAAGCATGGTTATATTTGAATTATTGAATTGTCTTGGACTTTAAAACATACGCAAAGTAAAATTTATCAGGCACCATGATTTTTTTCCTCAAGAAAACCCTTCTACATTGTAGAAATTGAGGAAAGATATTTTTTAAAAATACATCTCAATCTTTTATTTTTAAGAAACGCCTTAAAGAGTGTATGTACCCTCATACCGGTTCTTGGAATAGCATGGATTTTTGGAATCTTCGCCATTAATGAGGATCTTGTAGCATTTCAGTATATATTTACCATTGCAAATTCAATACAGGTAACTTTTACCGAATTATATAGGACTTTCAATTAGTAATACCTTTAGCTTTTTAAATTATAATTTCCTAAGTATCCTTTGCCTTTTGCAGTCATCACTATTTAAACTATTGTAAAAAAAATTCTGAAGGGTTAACAGTTGTCAAACCCAGCAGATTAAAAAGATTGGTCAAGATAATTGCAAAAATACGTTTTAAATTAATTTATCATTATTTCATCTTGTCTTTTAAGGGTCTGTTAATATTCATCACTCACGTATTGTTGAATAGAAAGGTATGTAAAACTTACGTTTGAGTATTCAGAGAATATAGCTACAAATATTAGTAAAAAGTCTTATTTATAATTTAATATAATTAAAGCAAACATACATGGTCTCTTTTCCAATAGTGTTCATTAATAATAATAATTGTTGTTTGTACAGTATTTATTTGTTTTCATAGTTAATTTTGTTTACACAAAAATCCCACCTATTCCCACTTAAAATCTTACCTTTTTCTACCTGATTTTCAAAAGCTGGGAATAGGTAGAATGAACCCATTTTTGTTCAGTGCTTTACATTATTTGGTCTTATCTCTGATGTTTTAGAGGTCCGTGTTTGCTCTGCTCCTGATTTCATTGTTTGAATGGACTTTTTAGATTGAGTGCTGTTCGTTATCTCAATTTTTTTTCATTAAGTTAAAACTGTTTTTGTAGATCAGAAAAGCGTTACAGGCAAAATATCCATTCTTGAAACGAAAACGAGACAAATCCGCCTATAAAGAGAAAGATCAAAGAGTAGTATCTTCAACGGATTCCGAGAATTCCACATCGAACACACAGTCAATGTCATTAGTTCCAACCAATAATAGGGAATATGTAAGTTATCAAACAAACAGCGATCGTAAGATTCGAGCTACTAGTGATACAGGAATTTTACAGACGTTTTCTCAATTATGGTTCTTTTGACCAATCAATAATTTCAATCAATAATTTTTGAATCACTCGATTGGATGAACTTTAAGTGCTTAGTTTTATACGAAGCTAAGACAACCATGATATTTAACTTTGCAAACATTTTTAAATGCATAATGACCAAACAAAATTATATAGATAAAGATTATTTATGAATAATTTGATTTTATATTTTCAAAAATTCACTGAAGTCTTTAAAATACGTTAATCAGAAAGATCATTTGCTTACTTTTTTGTAAGCTTGCATCTGTGATCTTTGACTGCATTTCTTTGATATTTTTAAAAATAAATCTCTAATTACAGAAACATCCTGACATGGTTTCGGAACATGATATACATATTAAAACAAAGGAGACGAATTCAAACATATTAAATGAAAATAAAGTTTTCGAGAATCATTTCTACATCAGCTCACTGGAAACAAAGGTAATACAAAATGAAGTATATGGATTACTCATGTAATTCACATTGTACTACAACTCACAGCATTAAAGATGGAATTCGTGTCCCTCAAATAATAATTTAGTTTTATTGTTGCTTTAATTTTTGGTTGTGAAGATCGAGGGAGGTAAAATAACCACCCAGACCGAGACCAGAAACCATTCTCAAATCGAACAAAAAGTGCAAGTATTTGAATCAAAATTATCGTCCAGTAATGGTACAACTGAAAGGGGCCGACAACAGGAAACTAAATGGGTAAGACAGTTTCAAAACAACTATACAGATTTATCAGAACTTGCCTTGCGGGCCATAAAACTTTTGATCTTAGTCTCACTTTTTCCAAAGGAATTAATAGTGGAAAAGTGAGATCAAAAGTGAACTCATGTAAGTATTGTGACTCCAATGTCTGGTCAAACATGACTAATGGCTTGCCTTATTATAGGGAGGAGGAGGTGTTACCGTACAATCACACACCCACACTGAGGGAGGTAAACGAGAGGAAGTAAGGCTTACCAAGGAGGTTAGAGTGAGGCAGATAAAGATGACACAGGCATCGGTAGTAAGTAACAGTTGGCTTCTTATTGATGAATAATAATAATCCGTGATATTAAATTTGTTAAGTTGCAAACCCTCGAACATACAAATGTATTTTCCGTTTAATATTTTACAGGAAACCAGCAGGATTCAGAATAAAATGCAGTTGATGAAAAAGGACGATGAAGGTAAATAACGGATAACTTCAAATAAAAGTTAGTTCGGAACAAATTTTTTGTCTAAAACAGAGTGATTTACTCCATAAAAAATTATATATGAAACATAAAAAACTCCCTGCAGCAATATATACATTTTTGTATTTATTAAAAATGACGAATAACATTTTAATTCAAAGAAAAATGTTGTTGGTATAGTTGCCTTTGTTACAATATTTTTTACAGTTTCAAAAATATATACTTTATTTCAGAATGCGATGCCTAGCAAGTCAATGGATCTATACCTTTGAGAAAAAAAAATCATACTGATTTTTAGGGCCATTAAAAAGCTGTTCCACCAACGATGTTCGTACACGTGATCAACGGACTGTAAAGGGAAAACAGCGTCCATATGATTTTGAACAATACTCGTTATTTTGCAATTAAAAAAATACTTCAAAGTCTTTTTTCTTCTATTTCTGATAAGAATAGAACAGATTCCGATGCCCTGTCCACTGCAAATATTGGTATTGGTTTTGGTATTGTTTTTTCTCTAAATTTCTCTGAAAAGGAATTCCTTTATTTAGTATTTAAACATGCATGATTTGATATTTAAGAAAAAGAAAAATTGAGATAGTGCACAATATAATAAAATAAAACATCAGAGGTTAGATCAGGTACCATTTTTGGGCAAGTGTTCCCTGTCAACCGCGTGTCGTGATTGGGTAAGGGGAAAATCAGCGTGAAAATAATTGCTTAACAATTCTTTTGATAAACATCAGTCAGCATAATGACAAATACATGATAAATTGTTATTTGCTGACAGGGTCATTGTACTTACTATAAAACTTGAGGAATGGTGACTTTAAACGATAATGTTGATATCCGTGTTTCATAAACTTGTTTTTCTAAATCTTGTCTTGTATCACAAGTTGTTTGTATGTAGAGCATGTTCTAATGTATTGTATACGTGTAATTGGGAGAAGTAAATTAATATGCAGGTGCTTACGGTTTATTGATACAGAAAAAGGGATGTTGATTATTAAAGTGTTTAAGGATATCCGATCCTCAGCCAGGAAGGATAACTCCAAAATTACAATTAAATTCAAAATACATCAAAATGAAGCTTGAAAATTAAAGTTTTTCTTGCAACAATTTTCATTTTATTCATCTTTATAAGATTCAAGGTTTTTTGGAAGTCTTAGAAAAGGTCTTAAAAAAGTTGACATTTGTACCCTATAAAAGGAAAAAAAATACTGCAGTTTCAGAGAAACAAGATTTTCTTGAATCCAGCCTTAGATACCAAAGCTTATTAGCGTAATATGAAATAAGAAGTGATTTTTGGTGTCTTACAATGACAGCAAAAGCCTTTTACACTATGTATTATAGAATACATGACAGAAATATAAGACAATAAATACCAAATACGTATGAAAATCATCACAATTTTTCTGAATGCCTGGATACCTATCTTTTTTTAACCTAAAATATATTTGTTGATCAATCTGCAATTAGAAAATGCATTGCTAATATTCCAATTTGCTTTTTCTGCAAAAATATTGGAGGTTTGACAATTTTCACTATATAATATGATTAACTTGTATCTTTAACTTTAAAGAAATACTGTGGATAAATTTACATAACTTTGTGGATTCAGAGATACTTTTATGATTATTTTTGATTACTTAACTGCGAATTTTATAAACCTGAGGATCGGACTACCTTAAATCGTCATGTACATTTTTGTTTGATTACCATATTCTAGTAAAATATCCAAAAATGAAACAGATTGTAAGACTGTTGTTTCTTTTCTTCTGGGGTATATATCAAATCGACATATGAATGGAAGTAACATTGTAATGAAACATGGAGATAACAATTAATAATCAAGATCAAAAGTTGATAAAACAATACAAAACAGGAGCAGAGCAAACACGGACCTCCGAAACATCAGAGGTGGGATAAGGTGCCATGGAGGAGTGAGCATCCCCTACCGACTGGTCACACCCGCCGTGCACTCCTTGTCATGATCGGGAAATAATGGAAAAATCCGTCGTCAATTCAGTGTATAAATAATGGACTAACAATTAGTATGATAAACGGCAGTCAGCATTTGACTCAATGAAAAATTGTATTTGCTGACAAGGTCATTGTATCGACCATAGAACTTACGAAATGATGACTTTAAACGAGACTGCTGATATTTTTGTTTTATCAGCTTGTTTGTCAATAATTTACCTCGTTTTAGAAATTGTCCATACGTAGAGCATGTTCTTGCGTATCGAATCAACTAAGTTTTATAAACTTCGTATGCAGGTGATGAAGGTATATTGCTGCATAAGTAAGGGATGTTGACGATAGAAAAGTTAAAGTCATCACATTTATCATAGAGCTTGGCTATTAGATTACCACTAACGTCTTTTAAAAAAATTCAAATATGAAACATGTGTCAGACACTGTGGTATCTTTTATCTCAAGCTCACCAGGATATATCGTATCGACATAAGAATGGAAATTACCACTGTTAATTGGCAAAACGTCGTCGTTATATCTAAATGTCGAGTTGGAAGGCCACAGCAAGTGTTTTCTGCTTTTCACGCATAGGAATATATAGGAAAACTCTTTTTAAAATCTTCATTTGATTACAAAAATAGATCTGCCAATAATGGGGCGCAATTCATAACCAGGATTTATGACAGATGAAGGAAGACCTAATCTCACATAACTACATAGATATTGTCAATCGGAAATTCAAACATCTTTTGTAAAATCAACTATAGTGTTTTTTAGTGTGTACAGTGAGAATATTTTAATATAATTCTTTTTTTTTCAAAAGTCCATTGACAAGTAATTAATTTACGAGTTACATAATGAGTGAACAGCTGTCAATGTTGTCAAAATCGCTTTACATCAAAGGGTGGAAAGTGGCTATTTTTATAGATGATTATGGAAATTATAGATATGTTTGTTTTCAGGCTGTTGTTTCAAAGACGGATATTAACAGGTTGAAGCTTATGATAAGTAACAACAATGAATCTACTCTCTCGGGTTATTCATATCTTAGTTTTCCATGATTTTCATGTCTTGCACCCGCTTTTTTAAAGAACAGTTTTTTTTTTTAAATCTATGACAGTGTATTTTATTGAGGAAAGGAAAGTTTTGGCTAACTTTACAGCGATCTAACTGCATTCCGTCTAAATGGTACACATTTTAAATATGATTAATGTTACACTAAGCTAACTCATTATTGATTTCCTTTCGTTGATTTTCTCCCCGAAAGAAAAAAAAAATTCTTAGCTGGGTGGTTTTTCAGTGGGTGTTTGATGACAGACAGACAATCAACAATCCATGATATTTCTGTATCTCAAAGTAGAAAACGGCATGACTACAACGTGATATTAAAATGATCAGAATCAGAACTATATCTTTCAAAGATCTAATGCCAATATGGATCGTAATCTATCAAATGCGATATTGTATCTTATCCTTTGTGAATTAGTTTTTGAAAATGAACCATTGTCATTTGAAATGTTATTTAAGAAATAAATAACAAGTTTATAAACTTCAATGGGAATTGAAGTGGGTCGGTCACGTGATCAAATCCTGTGAAGGCCGAAGGCCTTCTCAGAAGATTTGATCACGGACACCCACCTCAATTCCCATTGAAGTTTATAAATTTGTTATTTATTACTTATATATACATTTGAGACAGACAATGAATATTTTCGAATTAAATTATTGCACTAACCGTCCGTCGTAGATTTTGAAAAATGACGCAAGGTGTAAATCGGCTTGAATGGCGGTTACGCTTCGAATAGTCACCAGGCTAAGGATTTTATTTCTAAGGGAATATTTTGTAAAGGCTATTTCTGATCGGTAATAGTGAACAGATTGTTGTCTGGGAATATTTTTATTCGTGAAAACTGATAATTAATGCTGAAAAGACACAAGAAACACGTCCGATTCGAAGATCGATGATAAAAAGTTGGAGGAATTTCGGTCGCCAGAAAGGGATGGATGGATCCGATGGATGGAAACACTTGACCGAGCCAGTTAATTTGCAATCAACTGGATGAAAACACGGAGACACTGGCGACAACTTATTGTTACGACAACTCCAAAGTGTTTGTCAGCGTTTGTGGCGTGATTGCAATGCTTTGATATTTTCCAACAGATTTACACATTTACTGTGAGTAGAATTTAATGAAAATATTATAGTTTTTCATGGAATTTTAACTAAAGGTCTACCCAAAAAATTAGGATAAACGTTAGAGACTGTACAGCTGACAAAAGTGTCATAAAAGTTGTAAACAAACGCTAGTTAAGGTCTTCCGTTTCCAACGGAAGACCTTCTACTGATTCTGTTGGTTATTATTATTCTGTTGGTTATTATTCTTTTTTTTTAGGGTCTTCTGTCTCCAACGGAAGACCCTTTAATTATTCTATTGTTTCTTTTTCACTTTTATTATTAGGGTCTTCCGTCTTCAGCGGAAGACCCTTCTATTATTCTTCGGTTTCTTTTTTACCTTTTTTCTTTTTATTCTTTTTTCTTCTTACAAAATTTGTGCAGGCGATTTCTCGGAGATGGCTCGTTCGATTTGCTTCAAATTTTCAAGGTCGATGCATTGTCATCTGAAGTTAATTCCGGTAAGTTATTTTTCTGAAATTTTACTTCCGGTCGGAAGTTATCGCCCTTTGATCGAAATTTAGAGGACCTCCTTGTCTGTGATGGAACTCAACAACGGCTCAAGCTAGAAAGCTGAAATTTTCAGTGATGATAAAGGACATGTTGTCATGTTGCACCTGGGTCAGGATATTTTCCTGAAGTGTCTAGTAAGGAAGCTCGGTAGGGGTCAAAATTTAGGTCACGAATCATGACTGATTTTTTAAGACATTTTGCATTATATCTTTTAAAGTATAATTATTTTGTGAAAACATACTGAACAAAATTTGTGCAGAATGACAAGATCTTAAAAATGATATCAAGAAAAAAGTGCTGACTCATCACATTAGGGGCCAAAAGGGGCCAAAAGTTTTTTTTCGAAAACTCTTTAACAGTCAATAATTTGTTATACATTACTGAAGCAAAAATGTCTATCTCAAAATTTTACAACTATATATTATGATTTTCATGTCGTATGATACATGATTAGGGGCCAAAAGGGGCCAGAATGCTAAATCTTTGACACTTTCTATCTCGAAAGTGAGAAATATTTTGACAAGTAATATTAAACAAAAGATGTTTAAAATCATGTTCTGAACAACATGCAACCTTTCATTTTTCGCTAAACGTCCCCATTAGGGAGTTGAAGGGTTGGCTCCTAAGTATTTCTTTTGCAAATAACTCGAAAACGAAGAAGAATCTCTGAATAGTTATTGAACAGAAAGTGTTCAAAATCCTAACAGTTTCAAGATGAAATCAAGAAAAAGGGACTGGGCACTCAAATTAGGGGCCAAAAGGGGCTTAAAGTCTTTTTTCGATAACTCTTTAACAGTCAGTATTTTGTTATACATTACTGAAG